TTGGATCTTCAGGGTCTCAAAGTTGGAATTTGATTTTTCAAATTTTATTTTGATTTCTTGGGGTGAATATAAAAAAATTTTGAAACGTAATTTTCAATGTAAAATTTGATGAGGAATTCAAATTTGTTGTCAAAAATCATATTTATAACCTCAAAATCCCTAAATTATTAAAAATCATTCTCAAAGCCAAAAACAAACATGTTCGTATCCAGCGATCAGACCAATATTGTAATATGTTCATCGATACATCAAAATACAACTTCTGATAAATTTTGGTCATCGGTTGAAAATCAAAACTAATCCTTCAGCTGTCAAAAGACCTAGAAACATGTAAAATTAAAAAAAAACTATATCAAATTCCCACTTTGAGACCCTGAAGATCCAAGAGCAGAAGGTCCTAGAGGGCTGAAATTTTCCGGATTTTCATTTTTCAATGTACTCTTCAAGAGTACATACCCTTTTTTTCAATTTCATTTTTTGAATTATCAACTCTTTGTGATATGACCCATGTATATAAATATATATACCAATATAGAAACGCGAACATAAATGCACTTGTGTATAATGCAATATAATATGTACACATACACGCATAAAATGTATACACATGTAGGATATACACGGTGCATAATAGTACCGACATTGGCCCGAACGGCACCCCCAGCGGGAATTCTTCGATGTGAAAATTTGTCCGTATGTTTTTGCGTTTCCTACTCGCATACACCAACATGAGCTCGTTTCGTTCAAATTACGCGTTCAGCAAGAGTAACAGCAGCAGCAGTCAAGAACACCGAATGGATTGTAACGTTACACGCTTACATTGCCGCGGATGATTGTTTTGCTTCAGGCGATATTTAACGATGAAACATTGATGCACCCATTTGATATCTACTAATTTTTTTCATATACGCACATCCAAGACTGCTCGAAATATTGTAATTAAAATGGCAAAGGATTAACTTTATTGTGGATAAATATGAGTGACAAGCTTTATTAATTATCATATTTCATCGAATTATCAGCCTTTTTAACAAAAGAAACGTGGGTGATCTTTTATTTAACAAAGAATCAGTGCTTTGAAACTCTGATTCAAATATACATAATATTCCCCGTATAAAACATATAATTAAATATCTTTCTCTGTCTTCCTCTTTTGCGTTTTGAACTTTCATAATTAAAGTGGAATCGCATTAACCGTAATTTGCAAAAGCGTAAACTGAAATTTGCGATTCTGACTGAATTCAAATTTCAAAATAACCCCGCTCGACGCGATGTTGCGTGCCCCATGCCAATGAATAATATAGATGATTAAAATGTAATCGATTTTACTTGGCAGAAACATAAATGAAGTTGCCCCACAAATAAGCTGATTATTCCATTGCATTCTTTCGTTTATCTACCGCAGTACAATGATGCACATTCTCAGTTTTGAATGAGTGACGATGGCTCTGCTAAAGTGACAAAGTGACGTTTTCGATTTCATGATTAAATTAAGGAGCTCTTAATTCTTATATGTGTAATTATTTCGTTATGTAAAGCACATTTTAAAGTGGACGCACGTGAGGATCGCGTTAAGATTCGTAGTGACATCGTCTTTCAAGCTGCCGGTAACGAACCCGAGGTTTATTTAAGCGTTGTAATTGATTATTCCCAACCATGCATCTATGCAAAACCGTGTCATCTGCGTGCATATGGGCTAAGCCATAGTTAGCTTGATAGTAAAAAAAAATTTTTTTAAATTATATTCTTTTGAAGAATACGTTGAAAAGTGTAAATCCTGAAAATTTCAGCCCTTTAGGTCCAAACCTCTTGGATCTTCAGGGCCTCAAAGTTGAATTTTTTTTCTGGTGTTATAATGCTTGTAATTCTGATTTTATGGGGTTGATATGAAAAAATTCTTATCGAAAAATTCCTATCTTCATGGAAAAACCATGCTTCTTGGCTCATATCTAACTCAATAATGAAGTCTGTTTGTCTGCCAATGGCTAAAATTTAGGAAAAGAGAGTTTTGGATTAGTCGATGGACATATTACAATATTGGCCTAATTGAAGGAGACGAACACATTTATTTTTGACCTTTTATGCTATTTTCAGCTATTTTATCATTTCAATGTGGTTCTGAGGTTGTAAATATGCTTAATAAGTACAAATTCGAATTTACATCAAATTTTACATTAAAAACCATGATTTAAGAATTTTTTCATATCAACCTCATAAAATCAGAATTACAAGTATTATAAACACCATAAAAAGAAAATTCATCTTTAAGGCCCTGAAGGTCCAAGAGGGTTGGATCTAGAGGGCTGAAATTTTCAAGATTTTTACTTTTCAATGTACTCTTCAAAAGAACATAGTTCAAAAAAAAAATTTTTTTCGATCGTCACGCTAACTATGGCTTAACCCATATGTTTAAGTGCGGCAGAGCTACACGGATACACACGCACTTGTTTATATCTATCCAAGCACGGAAATGTAGCGAATATTAGCGAATGTTTTAGTTTTGATCGTGAGCAGTAGTAGCAGCGACTCATACGCGATATATTTCTCGTTTGTTCATTGCATGCATGACACGTCTATATGTGTGTGCGCAGTATATACATAAACTACATTAATTGAAATGCAGGGCATCGAGATTATTATACGGGTAAAATGACTGTATTGTATGCATGAAACATTCTGGCCCTACTGTTGCTGTTACGTCATACTAAATGGAAAACCAAAATAATAAATGGAATTTCTCCAGAATTTCAGAGAAAGAGAGCCAGCGAGAGAGAGAGAGAGAGAGGCGAGTCAAGCTTCGAAGAACTCCCGAGTCTATGGTAAAGTTGTTTTGCGTTGAGTTCATTGTTGGCGAAAATTACCGAGTAATTGTATAACATTGCTTTGAATTTTGATGAGTGAAACAATGTATACATTTATTTTCATGCCTCTCGCTCATACACGACGAGAGTAAAAGCACAAGTATACATGCGCATGCACGTCAATTAATTGAAAAATTTTTTTTTCTTTGTGCATGAGCAACTTCCATGTGCTCTATGTGAGTTATATTTTTAGTTTTCCAAGAAGTCGAAATAATTTGACAGTTTTATCAAAACGACCAGCGCGCAAGAGTACGTGAAAATGAATAGCATTGTGCAATAAATTCAAAATAAAAAATTTTTTTTGCGTTCAACAAGCGAAATTGAAGATTTTTCTACTGAAAATAAAAAAAATAAGTGTACACTATAAGGCATTGAATTCTGCAAAAGCTTAAAACGTAAATACATTATGAGTGTTTACATTATGAGCTGTTAAATTAAACGCCTTAAGTGTATGAAAGCAAAGGTGTTTCAAAATTATTTGTACGTATAATATTCAATCAAAAACCATTCCTAATCATTTGAAAGAGGAAAAATATATAATTTAATCGGTTTAAGGTCGTCATTCGACTATCCATAAAGTCATTGTAACTTCTAATCAGCATCCAAACATACGTAAAGTATACAGCATCTACTTCCACTATTTTTACCTATACACCCTCCTACTATTATTACAAAAATAGCAGAAGCGCAGCGTACACTTCTGGAGTTAGTGATCGAGAACGATCGAAAAAACGAATCCCTCGATTCGACAGACACCCTCGAATAAATGTTCGGCATTCGTTCATATATATCTGTGTATATATATCCACGATGCGAAGGGTCGGTAATGTATAAAGGGCTACTTTGCCAATTGATTCTCTCCCTCTCTTGCGATGGAATAAACGCCAATGTCCGATCGGCTGAGACGAAGTATACGTTGTATATATAAATGGGTTTCGACGTAAAGAGCAAAGAACTGCCAAGCGATGAGAGTGAGAGACCTGGACCATTGAGGGGAATGCATGTACACATGTAATAAGTGGACATCTTAGTGATACAGTAAAAATAAAAAAATTATCATTCAGGCAAAGGCTTAGCTTTAATCATTCACAAAATAATTTAAAAAAATATTCTAAAGTGTAAAATACGATCGCATATACTTAATTTAATAATTATTAAATTATGAAATTGATGTAAAATCATCCATAAAAATCAAAAAACTCGTCTAAATTATTTAATACTACCATCATAAATTATCTGAATTGCATGATGTATACTATTAAATTGAAGAACAATTTTTCAATAAGTTCTTAATAACTTTAAAAGGAGTACGGATGTTTTGAATTATTGTATTTATAAACTCAGGCAATGAACTTTAAACTTGAATAATCATTTTATGAAGGTCAATGACCGTACATGAACCGTAAAATTATCAGAAAAACGTGAATAAAATTTATTCAAAATCACAGTAATTCTTGGAATATTGATCAAAGTATAATAAACACGTCAAAAATGATTTACTAGATGAATTTTTTGAAACAAATGTAAAATTATTTCCATTATCGTTTCTTCATTTGAAATAAGTAAATACTAAAATATAGTCGTGGTGAATCTCGTGTACTTTCTATTTTCAGCTTATCTTAGTCAGTTTCAAAAAAAAAGCCAAAAGTAAGATAAGAGCATGGTGTAAAAGCTGCAGCCAATAAATAATGTTTTTATCATTTTTAACTGATTTAACTGATTGTTCTGCAACAAAAATAGAAAAAACTGTTATACATTTTATAACTGCAATAAAAATTGTGTCACGTTAAAAGTGTGTTAAAAAATATAGTGCGTAGTCATCATTTAATCACAATCAAAACAAAATTATTTTTAAATACGGATGTTGTGGTGTTTTTTAATAAACCTCTCAATATTATAATGCTAAAAATATCTAAGTGAGTAAAATTAGTGAATATAGATAACTTTTGTATGGAATATAGATAGAGAAAGTTGTTAATTCAAGGCAAAAGATATTGTGTGTGTAAACAAATCATAAAAATTTGATGAAATTGACACCATAAAAAAGTGTCAATGCCTTGAGATTAAAATTCATATATAAACGTATAACAAAACAGTTTATCAATCAGTGTCAAGCTCACCCAGAACTAGCCTTGTACACAGATTTTCGTCTAAAAATTCTACATTTCTACCATGTTGCTCAAAAGTACCACGTTTCTTTTAGTTGGCATCGCACTAACAACAGTAAAAAATTTTTTCTTCTTCATCGATAACATTTTTCAAAAGTATTAATTTTAAAAATGGTTCATTTTAGGCGTCACCAATTAATTTTGGAAATTTCTTGCTTTCTATGCAAACACAAGTGCAAAATATCGGAAAGGTAAAAGGTTCGCCGATAACCATGAATCAACCAAGTGAACAAACAATTCAAAGTGCCGCATATTCTGCATCTAATCCTGAAGCAGAGGCTAATGTTGTCACTGAAGCCGAAGAAGTCAAAACTCCAACGACCGAAGCATCAAAAGTAAGCGATGCCGTGACAACTTCGCAAGCCCCTACGACTGAGACGTCAACAACGACTACTGAGGTCTCAAAAGTGACTGAAGCATCCACGACTACCCAAGCTCCTACAACCGAGAAACCGAAAACGACGGCTGCACCTACAACTACTCAAGCGACTACAATTGCAGTACCATCAACCACTACAGCTCCAAAAAGCACCAACGAGCCTACAACTGTGGTACCTCAAGTTACAACCACCAAAAAACCTGTTATAACGCTGCCCATTGAAGTAAGATTTTAACGAACTTTATCAATCTTTTCTCTGAATCATTTTTAAACAACTGTACTTATTTTGATGATTTTTTTAGTCTATCGATTTGATTCATAGTCTATTAAAAGGAATTAAAACTCGTCTCGGCAAAGCATACGTCAAAACATATGATGAACAGAAAGATTCTATTCGGGAAACTATTGGCAGTATCAAGCAGACTGGTAAAATGGGCGTTGAGTCAGGCATGAATTTACTGAAAAATGGACTCGAATTTTTCTTCATTGCACCAACTTTTGGCAAACATCTCGTCAATGAAGGATAGTCATAGGATGTATGAATGCAAATAACATAATTTACAGTGTTACATTTTTAAGAATATTTTGGAACTAGTCATGTAAGATCATTGTAGAGTACCTTTAATAATTATTGTATTAACATTTTATTTGAATAAAAAAAACGTGTTCATTAGTAAATTTTAATCGATTCAATTTCATGCAGAATAAATCTCTGAAAATATATAATCAAAAATCGTCCACAGAAAATTCAATCTAACAAATACCGAAGGCGAGTTATAATATTCCGGTTTGCAGTGCCATAGTCACACAAAAAAAAGCGTGAACCAAACGACGCGATGCTGAATTGAATATAACGCAATTATAAGCTTCATAAATCTCGTATACACTTGAATCTTGCGAAAATCTATAGGTTTCCATTAAGGGGCGAGACTCACACACACTCATACACAGAGGCAGGCTAAGCTACCCCCAATAATTCACCGAGCCCACGTAGCGCCTTGCCGCGGTAGCGGCGCAGCGCTTCGCGTCCCTTTTTCACCTCTCCCCAAAGCTGTCCTATAATCTTCGTACATTTAATTTCCCGAGTCGCAGTTTTTCGCGCGCCAACTGTGTTGTATGTATAAAGTACGCAAAGCGCGGCCTGAGCGCGAGTATTATGCAACGTAGCAGCAGCAGCAGCCCCGGCTCACGAAGGTGGCAGAGGGAAACTCGACGGGCTTATATAAGCGTCTGGAGTTTATCAAGGCGACGTTAATTCAACATTCGCCTGTGGAAGAGTATGTGAATAGTAACGCCTGGCAATATTACGCGCGCCGTCTGGACCGTAAATATTTTGAATTTGAGAAATTCTCAGCTTATCGTATTTACGAAAAAGCAGCAGAATGTTCGTGCATACGCAGGGATGGTACGCGTCTGCCTCGGCGAAAAATTTAGTCCCTGGAGCAATTCAAAGATGTTCTTTGATGTATAAGTTCGGAGGCACACGTGAGTGCGCTTGTGCAATTTAAAATAGTGATGCCAGAGTCCATTGTAGTAGTTTTATTTCACATTTTTTCTGTCCAGAATCTAAAACTTAACATTGCTTCTTTTTACTTCAGCTCGTTACATATTTTTCTCATTTCTTCATTCCTATATGCGACAAACGAGTGTACAAGCACAGTGACGAGGGGAAAAATGAAACAGGTAGACGAGACAAAAAGAAAGAAAGAGAGAGACAACGAGAGAAATCTTTCTCTATCAACGCTTTATATATATTTTTATCGATATTTTTTCTCTCGAGTGGCACACGCACGCACACACGCTGTATTTCATTTACGACCTCTCGGTCTGTCTCTCCCTCTCGCGCGACTTTTCTATTTACTCTAGGCTTTCTTGCGCCAAGTATGTCTATATATCGAAGCTTGCGCCACTCTCTCGCTCAACTTCCGTTTGAAAACTTTGCACTCGTTCGTCCGGAGTTTTTTTTTCACCCAAGTCCCCTTCTCCCTCCACGTGCTTCTACCCCGCATACAGTGAGCGCGAGCGCATCGTTTTCGCACTTGTAAAATTTTCTAGCAAACCCTCTTTCTCTTTCACTCGGGTGTGCGAGCTGCTATGATTTACGGATTGGACACACGTGGAGCGTGTTGATCTATGCCCAGCGGACCGTCCGAATCGCGAGAGAGCATGGAAACCAATAAGAACTGCAAGTAAAAAAGGAAGAAATAAATGCGACAAACGCAATGCGAAATGAGAAAAATGAATAGAAACGAAAAAAATAAAGAAAGAATGAGAACGAGAGAGAGAGAGAGAGAGAGAGAGAGAGAGAGAGAGAGAGAGAGAGAGAGAGACTGTATCAAGTAAGAGATTGGACCGAATGTATAAGAAAAGAGGTAAGCGTCTTTAAAATAATGAAAAGTATGAAAGCACACTTTAACTTTTGTTGAGAGTCAAAGGCATTGATTTAAATAATTCATTTACACAATTATTACAACTTGAAATGGCATTGATCATTTCGTCACCCCAGCGCTGGAAGGTATCTCTAAACTCGAGCGGCAAAAAGGTACCTAAGTTCTACCCTTTTAACATAGGGTTAAGGCACTTTCTTGCCTCCGAATATATTAAGATACCTTCCAGCGCTGAGGCAACGATTTGAAAGTACTTTATGTGTATAAGGTTAAATTAAAATTATTATAAATACAATTTAATATATTTATTTTATTTCGTAGCCATTTAAATCTTATTATTTTCCAAAAAATAAAATTAATCTTTCATTTTTTATCATTTTACAGTTTACTTCATACTCTTATCACCTGTTTATTTTTGAGGAAAATCTCTCAAAATAAATAAAGCTCCCAAGTTGAAAATTTTCCGGGACAAGCTTGAATGACCAACCTGATCTACATTCGCCTCCCTCTTCTTTTTTTCGGCACGTCCTCATCTTACTTTCAATTTGAATTGTGGGTGGAATTCCCGTTGTGGCGAGCAGCAAAGCGTTGATATTACTTCCATTCCTATTCCCATCACCTCTCCTTATCGTTTTCTCTAGTATCAGCCATGCAAAGATCATTAGGTATTCCAGCCTCTCTCTATCTCACTTTCTCGAGCTATATACTCGTGCCACTGCAGTTCAAATTCTTCCTCATATACACATGTTGAGCGTGTGCGATCGTCAGTGGCAGGTAAATTACTGATTAGAGGAAGAGCGTGCGATTACATTTTAAACATGCCACATTACTTGGCATTAGTTTCGCGCGCTTTTACCCTCTCTCTCGCTCTCTGTATACACTCTATAAAGCCGCCAAATAATTCAGTAGCTATTTGCATGAGACATCGCGCTTCTACCGAGCTTTACTCGAGTGTGCCACGCTTTTTTTCTCTGTCGTGACTTTCAGTTTGCTCTTACGTGAAACTTCGTTACCTGTGGAGAAAATATAATTCGTTTATTTACTGTATAATGCGGCTGAGCTTTCGACGAAAACGTAATTCAACCGTTTGACTTGAAGTACATTCAAATACTAAGCAGATTCGAAAGCGCTTGAGGTAGAAGAAAAAGAAAAAAAGAAAAGAAATACTGACAGTCAAACTGGTACGAACGCATGCATAGAGGGTCCAAAAGTTCGGAAATGCCGGGAAAAATATGTCTCTTGGTGACGCATAAATTTTACAGAAGATAAGGCCTTGATGCTCTATCTATCTCTCTTTCCTATATGGTAATGGTATTCTTACTTACATGCGTGCAATACGCACATGGAGAAGCAGAGACGGGTAAACACACGCGCCTTACAACGATGACCCCTTTCAACGGTTGCTCGAGAGACAGAGGCAGATCCTGAGGATCACCCAAGGGGCTTTATTATATTTTATGAGTTTGGAAATGGAGGGTGTGACCGCAGACACACACGTGACATTAGTATTTCAAATGCTAAGCTCGCCTGCCAGCCCGAGTGTCGAGGGAGAGGCATATGTATCACTTGTTACAACTATAATTCGCTCCTGGGGTGTGAGATTATCATCCACTAGATGCAAAAAAGGGTTTAATGCGTTTCTCGTACCATTTCAGTTTACAGTTCTTGAAATTCAAAGAACATTTTATTCTTCAAAAATAATCTTAGGGGCGAATTATATTTGCAACAGGATAAGGTTTTGTTTTAAGAGATCATTAATGAGGATCTAATTAAGCATTTAAACGTAATGTTCGTTGTAGAATGAAAAAAAAATTTGATAAAAGTCTGGCAACCTTTGCTAATTGCCTCTTTTCGATCGAAGCCCTCTTTCTCGCCTCGCTTCCGAGTAATCTGGAGATTAAAATTCATGTCGACTAATCCCTTTCGATAAAACACGTGAAAGCAGCAGTTATCTGTACTTTTGTTCGCTTCGCTCTCGTTACCATCGTTCCTATTGTTCGTTTCAGTTTCTGAACAGAGAGGAGAAAAAAAAGAAAAAACAGATCACAATCCAACTCGATGTTTGTGAATTGCGTTGATCAATGGGGCCAACAAATCAAATTTTCAATTCAAAGTTTTGTGACGTCTTCAACGCAAAAAAAATTTTAAATACACTTAACCGAGTTTTGAAAGTTTTCGGAATCGATATGTTAAGTTTCTTTTATTGTTTAAGCTTGAGTGATAAATACACTACTGGATAGCTGAAATGAAATTCAGTGCTAAACATGAGTAGAGACATCCCCTGTGGAGAATGACAAGGATTAATAGACTGTGACGTTGGAGCAAACTTTCTTTGAATACACATTGAATAGTCCCATAAAGTACTTTATTTTATTTGACAAACCCCAGTATTGCCTTTCAATCAGATTTCAAACGAAACTGCTGCACGTGGCACTATTCAACAATCTTAATATCAAATAAAAAACTATCATTTCGACACGGGATAGTTTAAATGTTACAGTTCATGAATTAGGCTGAGTTGTCTCGAAATGCTACTACGAAGATATTGCACTAATCTTGGCACTGTCGTTCTAGTAAAAAACGAAAATAATTCTAAACTCAAAAATAATGAAGTTAATAAATGTTTTAATATGATAAAAACCTGTCCAATAATACATATAATAAATGCATGGTATTTTCAAAGCGATCGGTTGTATAGTTTTTGAGATTATAAAGGAAAAATTGACACCAATTTCGCTTTATATATGACGGATTCCACACTCGATCAGACAGTGCTCTCGCGCGGGGCATTTTTTAATGTATCGCAAATTTTCTAATTCGCCGTGTGCGGCACATATTGGTCTAGAGAAATATTCTGCATATGCATTTCGATCGAGTTTTGTCTGCTTTTTCCAATCGGGGTATTAATTTTCTCGGAGAAAATTGACTTTGAAGTTAACTTAATTTTTCGGCAAGTATACCTGTTTCGATTGTGTTCGTAGTTACCTCGAACGAAAGCTAATCTAGTAACGAAGGCCTGTATAAAATATCATGTTGGAGACTCAAACGCTTCAAAACTTATAAACAATTAAATACCGAAAAACGTAATTTTTCGACCGCGCGCGGCTCTTCTGATCGTTTCCTTTTACCCCCTCTCCTACTGGCTGAGCGGAGAGCGGCCGCGCGCGGCCAGAATTCGTCCGCAAAGCCACGTTTTGGATACTTAATTGTTCATAAGTTTTGAACCATTTGAGTCTCCAGCATGGAATTTTATATAGATCTTCGTTATTAGATTGCCTTTCGATTGAGGTAACTACGAACAAAATGGAAACGGGTGTACTCGCCGAAAAATTGAGTTGAGTTCAAAATCAATTTTCTCCGAGAAAATTAATATCTCCATTGGAAAGAGCAGACAAAAATCTATCGAAATCCATTTGCAGAATATTTCTCTAGACCCATGTGTTCCGTACACAGCAAGTTGGAACATGAGTTGTGATACATTAAAAAATGACCCACGCAAGTGCACTGCCTAATCGAACGTGGAATCCATCATATATAGAAGATACAAATTGCTGGATGTGTAACTGATCGGCATATTTATCTTATCGTTTATACTCAAGCCTTTTGTGCTATTATCTAACAGATTTATTCCAGTGCTACTGTTACACATAACCTTACAGACAGTCTTTCAAAATTGTTACACTAAAATGGATCTTTTTTACTCAATTGGACTTTTCGTGATTATTTTTATCGGTATTTTATATTATTCTGCGACTACTTTTGATTTTTGGACCAGACAAGGCATTTATACTGATAGGAATTTAATTCCAATTTTTGGAAATGCATTACCTGTATTGTTAATGCGCAAAAATCTTTCAATGCTTTGCAATGAGGCCTGCAAGAACTTGTCCTCAAATTACAGTTTAATTGGTATGTTTTTTATGCAGACACCATTACTAGTCATACGCGATCCAGAATTGATTAAAAATGTTTTGATTAAACACTTCAATTATTTTCGGAATAATGCCTTATATGTGAACGACAGAGATGACCCGTTTATGGTTAAAAATCCATTTTTTGCAGTCGACGAGTCTTGGAAACAAAATCGAGCTTATTTAGTGAGCAAAATGTCACCAAAAAAACTCAAAACACTTTTTCTGATTATCAGTGACATATCAATAAAATTCAAAAATTATCTAAAAGAACTACTTAAAAATGAAGGAAGCAATATTGTAGAGCTAAAAACAATTATTATGAAATTCACTGGTGAAATCGTAGCTAATACAGCTTTCGGTATTGAAGGTCAAGGTTTCAATAAAGATAGAGATCCAGATTGTTTTACAGTAAAACTTGAACATTTTTTACAACCAACTTATTTAAGTGGTGTCAAAGAAACCATTCGATTTTACTTTCCCAATCTAGCAAGTTTTTTGAGGATAGGTTTTTTACCAATGAAATTATCTATTTTTCTTTTGAAAACTATCGAAGACGTTTTCAATTATAGAGTAAAGAAGCATATTGTAATTAATGACTTATTACAAATGGCAATCGAGTCAACAGATAATCCAAATTTAGAAGTAGTCTCAGCACATGTAAGCGCTTATTTTTTCGATGCTTATGAAACTTCTGCGACAATTGCTTCGTTCGCTTGTTATAATTTAGCGTATTATCCAGATATTCAAGAAAAAACTCGCAAACACATTGAAAAGGTCTTAAACGACCATGATTTCAGATTGAGCATTGAAGCCCTTAGAGATATGTTTTATTTAGATCAAGTAATTAACGAAACAATAAGATTGCACCCAATCTTAGGAATCAATATCAGATCCTGCAATCAAGATATTTCTCTTCAGTCATCAGATGGTCAAAACGTCCACATCAAATCAGGAAATTTGCTGTGTATTCCAGTACAAAGTATACATACTGATGAAAAATACTGGAAAAATCCATTTGTTTTTGATCCTGATAGATTTAGTGAAGATAGGAAAAAAGAAATCGTCAAGTTTACTTTTTTACCGTTTGGTGAAGGCCCACGTATATGTGCTGGTAAAAATTATGGCATTATGATCGTCAAGGTAGCTTTGATAATAATTTTAAGAGATTTTATAATAAAAGGATTGCAAGAAAAAATGCCAGCAATGACTTACGATCATCGTAGCTTCTTGACAGCCTCTAAAGATGGTCTGCAAGTACATTTAATAAAAAGATAATTTAGGAATATATAATTTATAAAAACTTATTCGTTGACCATTTATTATTGTTATTATAAAAATGAAAAGTGTATTAATCTGGTTAGATATAAAAAGTAATAATAAATAAAAGTGTATTAATTTGTGCCAGTCCAGAAAAATAGTGTAACCTTTTTTTTTTGACACACAAACTTATGACGTACAAAATTTTTTTAACCAAGGCTCTGCAGAATAACATTAAACATGATTATAAAAAACAAATTATTTGTTTTGATATTTTACATTAAATAACTCAAAAATCATAAAAGTAAAAGTTGCATCATTCAACCTCCGAGTATTTATCACTTTTATATGACTAATCTAACAATAAGAAATAAAAAACGTATTATGCATATGACGGCGTTCAGTATTTTCACACACAGAGCTTGTTAAGGGCACTTTTTCAATTTAGCACTTATAATCCGCTGTGATAGATGTGTAAAACAATATTTGACAAATTCAATTCTATAGACGTTCACATCTTTTTTACGATGGCATTGTTAATTTTCTAAAAATTGTCCTTTTTGTAAATGGAAATCGCTTTTTAAGTTATATTCATCACTTTTCCCCAAGCATACCCCTTGAAATCTCTTTTATTTCTTTACCAATTTGGGGACGAACTTGAAAAATTATCCGAAAGAAATATCAAAATATAGACTAAAATGTTTATAATGTTAAGTACCATCATACTATTTGCCATACCCAGTAGCCCAAAAATTGCTCTTCCCGCTTTGCGCAGTGGCAGGGAAGTAGTCACTTTTGGGCCGCTGATATGAAATATATACTATTATTTATAGGTTTGAAGACCAAATGTGGCTTCTTTCTGCCCAGTCAGGAGAATCGGGGGTAGTAGAAGCTGTTAAAAGTAGCCACGTATGGCCATTCAACCACGATTCTTGGCTATTATTTATTAATAACTTACAGATGATCTTGTTTAGTTTATTTTGATGTAAAACATTTATATAGGAGTTTGGTATGAGGGGTAAACCCGTGAAAAACGAGCGTCCGTCCGTCCGTCCGTCCGAGCGAGCGCAACTTTGGTGTTATAAGTGCCTATACAGCGTCGGTTTGCGCTGCGCGATGTCATTGGCTGCCGCGCCTACATCGAACTCAATGACTGGTTTCTGCTGCTGTCGAGACTTGCTGCGCGTATTTCTTACTCTCTCGCTCTTACTCTCGCACGCGCGTATGACTGTGTTTACGTATACACACGACGAGCCAACGTAACAACATAAGCAACAGCATTCAACTTAGCTCACGGGATTGACTGCGTTGAGATATCTTTCTCTCTCTTGCTTACACGTCGCGAGACTCTACGCACTATCATGCATGTTTTCAAATCTGATATTGATTAATGCATGTATGTATACGTGTTTATGAGTGTGTGTCTTCTTAAGGGAAGTTGAAATTTTTATCATGTTATATTATGTTAGCATACAATGAATGATAACCGCTCGATGCATGTTTAATATAGTCAAAATATTATAACATAGTTAAAATTTGTTATATATTAATAATCCACCATTTATAGATCGACGTAATTCAATGAAAAATCCAAAACTATTGTAGTACTTAAATAGGGATTGAGTAAAACTCAGTATTCGTTTCTCATTCTCCGATTATTTCTATAAATTAGTGGGTTAACAAAGGTGTGGCTTTGCCTTGAATTTTAATTATAATTAGACCAAGAAAAATAATCTCTCGCTGAAATGAAATAATTAAACCAACATGTTCTATATACAATCGAAATATATTTTTATATATTGCATCTCAACATGCGTGGAAAAAATGCATGTATCTTATTTTTTCACTTTAAATTTTTTGGATTTCACTTTTCCGAATTTTGAAAGTACAGATTAGGACTTATTCATGTAATAAGTACAATGGACAAATGATTAATATAACATTTAATTTTTTCCATACCATAATAATATCTTTCATCAGGCTTAGCACATAAAGTGCTATTAATTTAAGGGGAGCCTTACACCAATTCACTCCTCCTTATCTTTTTTGTAATATATAAACCACAGTTGAATTCAATCTACATTTTCAACATAAAATTGAAATCTTGACCCCTAAAAAATGTGAAAAAAGTTGCCCAATAGTTCTTTGCATCTTGAAATAGCTTATTTTTTCTATTTTAAACTTTCGGCCATGTGCGCAAGGTTCAGATCAGAGTTATGTAGGTGGCAATGACTAATAGGAATCAAAATCTTCAGAAAAGTATCCTTTATCGGCTGAGTCTTGTGGAATTTTGATTTAGACCTTCATATCAGTTCTATTATTCAATGTGTGCCCAAAAACATTAATAAATTTTTTTTATTTCTTGATTTTTTTACATCTGTTGGCATACAAACTTTTTTATAACTCTAATCAAAATTTTAAAAAACTCAGCCCATAGAGGGTACTTTTCTGAAGATTTTGATTCCTATTAGGCATTGCCACCTAAATATCTCTGATCTGAACCTCGCACACAGTGCCGAAATGCTAAAATAGCAAAAATAAGCTATTTAAAATGCAAAGGACTATTCTGCAACTTTTTTCACATTTTTCAGGGCTCAAAAATGTCAATTTTATGTTGAAAATGTAGATTGACATTAAACTGTGGTTTACATCACAAAAATGACAAAGAGGAGTGAATTGGTGTATGACTCCCCTTAATCATAAATTTTAATACAATAAGCCTTAGTTTTTATACCACTGTTCATTTGCTATCAAAAAGTTAAAAATAATAACTTCTACCTTTAATTATTTTAATTCATTTTTATAACACGATTATTTATTAGTTTCTTTTGAATAATTTTTCAAATCACTCTAATATTTAATTTTAATACTAAAATTATTTTAACAGTCATTAAAATTCAATCGCCATAATCATAAAGTACACTTTTACCTACCTAATTTTTGTTACTTATATAATAACATATAACATATTATCTTCAAAAAATTTTAGATACTAATTTTTCTCAGTTGCTAATATTATTTCATATTGCAGTTTCTTATACCTTAGAATAAATCCAAGCAACTTTTAACTACCTCATGATTTATCTCAAAGTATAGAATATTAGGATACGTTTTTCACGATTAATACTATTCAGCTTAATTGTAAACTAGTTAAAGAGTAGTTAAATTTCTACCTGAGTACTCTTAAAAAATATTTATCTATTTTATAAATATTTTATATAAAATATCACCCGTTGTTCTAGAAATTACTTTTTTTCCATAAAAAATTAAACTAATACTTTATGTGATCCCTTATCATGACACATAATGTGAACAAGCCTCAAATTTTTGGCAGTAAATAAGTTTTCATAAAATTTAACAATATCTTCTTTTTTAATTTCTCCGCGTTCAGCTGTTTGCAGTATCTGGGGCACTAAAGTTCTTGATCTTTCAATCCTGTAATTAAATTGTTTATATTTTCGATAACTAGTATATAAATATGTTTAAATAAAAATGTAAAATTACTTGTGATCCAGATTCCAAGTAGAAAATGATACGAGTTTTTCTTTAGATGTATAAGGATTTATTATATGAAGATCCGAATAAAAACAATCTTCGCGATTCCAAACGCCACTGCATTTAAATTCCCCTCTCTTATCGCAAAAAGCCATAATTTCTGATTTTTTTCTTTCAAATGGTTTATAAGGACACTCTTTTAAGGCTATTTGAAAATCTCTTTTTTCTTGTTCTTGAAAAACAGAAAATTCTTCTGAAACTTTGACTTTTTTTGCATCAACTGTATCGTCACCGTCTCCGGTTAAAAATCTGAAAAAGTATTTCAACGTTCAAATGTCTTAATTAATTGAACTATTACAATTGATTTTTACAAAACCTTTCATAGTCGTCCAAATCCATTTTACAAGGACAGTGCTCATAACAGCAATTTTCAGCAGTGTCTATTTCATCGTCCGAAGAGATTAATGAGTCATCTACTCGATTTACAGCTCGACTGCGATCAAAGTAGTATCCAAAATAATGGTCTTTTTTCAGTTGCAATTTAAAAAATACAATGACCAATTGAAGCTGTTTCCTTGCAACTAAATTTTCATTGTAAGTTTTTGAAAATCTAATTTGTTCGATCGTTTTATAAAGATAGCCTCTGATTCTATCTTGACAACGACGATGCAAATATGCTTCCTGAAAATTGTTAGTATAAGTGTATTTATTACATTTGAAGTAAATCTAAAATTTTATAATGAATTTTAAAAATTAATCTAATTGGTACATTACCTTAGTTTGAAAAGTTGTTCCTAGACCCTCAAACCACTCTGGGTGTTCATCACGCCTACTTAAAAGAGTTTTTGTGTCGTGAGAACCCAATATCTTATTCAGTGCAGCAATATTGGTTCTAAATTCATCTGTCATTGAAGCTGCATATATTTCTGTGTTTTCTTTTATTTTATCAGTCGCTTTTTTTACCATTTCAATAAGATGATCAGCTTCTAAAAAATGAAACATAGAAATTAAGGAAATAATAAAAAATATATTACAACCAAAAAAAATTTTTGATCTAATAGTTCTTTACCGTTAATCACATTTTCCCCAGGTTTACAAATAATCAAAGTAGTTTGAGGTTCAAGAGTTGAAAAATATTCTTCGTCAATTTCGAAACCATCCGTTAAACATATATTTATCCTGGACAAGTCTTCAGTAATCTGCATAAAAAGTTTGATTAGATAATCATACAAAAATATATGTTTCTATGAAAAAATAGAAATTATTGTAGGAAGTCTATTTACTATTAATGATAATGGGCTTCTAATAAAAATATTCTGTTATGCTCACACATAATTGTTGTAAAATATAATATTTTTTCAAACAAAAGGTTCCGATTCACATTCAAGACTTGACAGTAAAAGAATCTTTTTACTTATAGCTCATTATTATCAATAGTACGTCACCTTCGATATTGACGCGTACCTTCCTTCTCATATTAAAATAGAAAATACTTACATCTAGCTTTAAACAAGTTTTTTTTTTTAATTCTTGTAGATTTCGAGCAGTTACTCCTACTTTTCGTGTTCGACGCACATCCGTCACTTTGAATCCTTTCAACTAGAATATTTAAAATTTTTTAAATAATTTCGTTTGTTATAAAAAATTATGTCTTACATTAAAATTCATAAATAAAAAATTTAATAAACATATGACGAAAAAACATTTCAATTTTTAATATTATTTCTGTTGTATTTATTATATTAAAAATGTTCTGTCGTATAACAAATGGTCATTAATTTTATTAAATTATTGGATTTCAGAGTAAATAATTTGAATAATGATAGTAAATATTCATTATGAAATCAAGCGTTTTTTATTAAATTTTTGTTAAATATGAAATTTTTTTTAAACTTTTCAAAAAAATAATTTATTTAATGTGTAAATCTGACTAATTTCTAATTTAATTATAAGCCTCATTAGTATAGTAGTTACTTAAAAACATGAGCTTTCATATTATGATCGGTAAAAATGTAACGTCATAAATCAACCTGTGTTTGTTTTGGTTCCATTAATCGGCGATAGTACTCAGCAATCAGTTTCGACATGATTTTTTATAATTTGTGATGCTACAAAACCATGGGAAATACGTCCTACAATCGAAACAAATCAATTCTACCGAGATTTACAAAAATCACACTTGAGCACTTAGTTTACAATGTCGACTGTTTTATTAAACAAAGAAGTAATGGAGCAGTAGCGTCGTCTGCCATGAAGCTAGGTAAAACTGTATTGAACAGCCATATGTGTAAGTTTTAGACGTCGACGATGAAATGGAAGTCTGTGTGTACACATAACCCCACCACTCACTTACTACTTTCTCTCCCTCCAATTCCATATATTACATTGCAATCCGCTTGACTCTTTAGAGTTTGTATCTCTTTGTTCTTGTGTGCTTTGCTGTTTTCAAGATAAATTATTAAATGAACAAAAATTTGATCGACTTCCATTATGACAGAGTACTTTTTTAACATCTCCCTTCTATCATACGTACTTTACGAATGCCATTCTCTCTTTCAATGAAATAGTCGAGTTTCTACCTGTCCAACTATTGAAATTTAGCGGCAAAAATTTTTATCATTTTTCTGTAGATGGTGATAATATCGATTGCTTTATATGTCGTTTACATAAATCCAAATAATATTATATTTGAAACTTCCAGCTATAATAAATATTCGATTACAGAATTATAGAACTATAATATTCTTTGTCATACAATGAAGTTTTGGTTACACAAATTTATATTTCCAACAACTCAAAATAGTAATAAGCACTGAAAAATTCGTTATTCAATTAAATAGGAAGGCTTGAAATATAATTTTTTACTACCAAAAGAAGTAAAAATGAATAGTAGAAAATATTAAATTTAAGAATAATTTAGTTCGATAATATTATTAAACACAACGAAATTATTGTCTTTTTTTAAAGATACATTTCATAAAAAGAAATAAGAAATGATAAATCGAAGAATATCATTCCTCTTTAAAACGTATCCCTCGGAATTTAACATTAAAATTTAACTTTGCACAACTTTTAATATGCACATTAATTCAATATTTAGCACAAATATCAGATTAAAAAATAATAAAAATTGTCATTCTATGTCAAAAGTCGTTGACAAGTTAAAAAATAAGCTGAGTTAGAGGTCAAAGAAGGTAGCATGATTTGTTTTAATGTAATTATTTTACGACATGTAATATTATACTTGAGCAATGGAGAATTGCCTACTTTCAATTGCAATACATTATTTATTATAATTACACAAGTATTATAAAACGCTATAATTTGTTATTATTTCCTTATTCTAGTTATAAAGTTCTTAATACGAGTAAACAGTGAAACATTCAATGTTTTGGAAACATTTTCTTACAATTCATTGAGCCGTTTTAGAGGTATTATGAAATTTGTTTAAAATTAAACAAAGTATTTTACTTTCAAGTTGAAATCAGTGGTTACTAGATGAAATTCATTTGCATTTTTTATTGTTTTTAAAAGCGTAGTAGAAATATACAACGCAGAAAAATCGCATAGCTTGATCTCTCGATGCTATCTGCATCATTGGACATGCAATTTTTTAATGAGCATCGGTAATCAAGGCTTCCTAGATACATCTGAAAATGTACATTTTTCTTTATTTAACGAATGGACAGTTTCCCGTACTCTTAAAAATTATGCTTGTCTTGGTCATCATTCAAAATAGCTTTTTCATAAAATAAAACAATGAAAATGAACCAAGAATATGATTGTATATGGGGTATATCGCGTCAATCGTTTCCCTTAAAAACATTGTTTTTTTTCTCATTTTCCATGCTTTTTGACTCTTAATATGCTCTCAAATTTTGTTTTTCAGTCTGCCGATGACCAATATTTAGAGGAAGTTGTACTTTGTTCTGTCAATAAATATATTTCAATTCTGGCCTAATCAATGGATACGAACATGTTTGCTATTTTTTATTTTTAGTCGGTTTTTAGGTTGTGAATGTGATTTTTGACAACAAATCTGAACTCCTCATCATAAAGGAAGGACCTAAAGGGCTGACATTTTCAGGATTTTCATTTTTTAATGAACCCTTCAAAAGTACGTACTTATTTTTCACTCCTTTTTTCAAGAGAGGACAAATGACGCGATATAGCCCATATACTCGTATTCAGTTTCCTCAATACTCAATAATTTTAAATTATTTGAATTATCGTAATATATGTTAGCTGGTATTGGGTGTTGCTAATCTCGCAAACTTCCTAATGATCATAAGAAATCAGTTCCACACTAATTTACTTAGTAACTGTTCATTATCTGCTACTACATACTTAGGTGCGAGCTCGTAACACTGTTTTTCTAATCAATTTTTATGGCATTATGATGATTATTAAAAAAAAAAAAAAAAAAGAAAAAAGATAAGCGCGAGAGTTATAAAATGTTGAAATCTACTTTGTTGAATTCGCTTAGGATATTACTTAAATTATTTCTTGACGGTGATGAATAAATGTCTGTGATTTTTTTTGCATTTTGTATTCGTGAGCAGACGAACGTTCGCATGCACATCTATTTGCGTCAGATTTTTAAATTGAGCAGGGTAGTTTTTATTTCAGTGACGCAAAGCGGTTAACAAACGGTAAAGAACGTATACATTTTTTTTGTTGAGGCTTTCGTTGCATCGACAACAAATGCGTAAATTCGCTTAAATTGTTCAACAAAATGTTATGTTTACAAGTAAGAGTATTCGCATTAAATACTTATGTGCGTGGAGTGTACCGCAGTAATGAGTCACGAAATTAATATAATATATAAAATAAACGAACGTAATTTTATTGAAAACTTCATTATACCTTAGTGAAAAAATGATGAAAAAACAAATCACAAAAACGCTCACTGGCATTTATGCACTATTATATTTCTCGAAAGCACAAAGAGATGGAAATGCAATTACATACTGAATAATAACATCGTGAGAATATATCACAGCTGAGTAGCACAGTTTCACAGTTTGCTTGAGAAATAGTCCATTATTATTATATTGTATTTACATTTGTGATTGCTACCTTTCTCAAACATTTGAGTCACTTTCGAATACTTCAAAATTTATTTCATCTGATTTAACGAATGTTCTTGAATGAAAGTCTCACCCATGTGCGCGTGTGCAGGATAAGTTGTTGATATTTTTGTGATCTATTCATGAGATGGGTGAATTCTGTACGATTTATTAGTGATTAGGAAAACCTAGAAACGCATTAATGAATATTGTATACGATTTTGCGAACGTATATGGCTATGTTGACTAAAAAAAATCAATCGAGCAGCAATGTTACTCGAAATGAAATATAGATTTGTCGATTGGAGAACAGGTTTCAGTGAACCGAGCACATATAGTGCGTTTCTCACATCGCTAGCGTGAAATATCCTGCGCGTTTTTGCGCCATCGTTATGATTTTATTAATCACAAATGCCAAGGCTTTTATATGTGTCTCTCTCTCTCACACACAAATACTCTCGAGTTTATTTGATAATTACTCTCGGATACGGCGTTGTCTATATACATACATGGAAGTGTCTGGATCAACGTGTATACAAAATAAGTTTCAGAGTATGACAAGGTCCATTTATTATCATACTAGAGCAGAGCTAGCAAAATAATAATTAAAACGATCATTAGTATTGAATGTGCCTCTAGTTTGCGAATCTTACATATTATTAAACTAAATCGAATTTTATCAGCATTTTTTTCAACTTTTTTTGAAACTTCAAAAGATCAAAAATATTAAAAAGTATATTGTTTCTTGAATTATATAATCAAAGGATCTATCTAAGTACCGTACAATTTACGAAATGTTTCTTTGGGATATTTTCATTCTTTTTCGATATCATTCATAGGAAAGACGAAAAGAAGTTTAACAATGCATAAGACATTCGTCTATCTGAGCAGATCAACGATCTCTGGTGAACTTCTAAAATAGTGATGAATCATTAACTTGTTTTGCTATTAAATAAAATGCTGGAATATAGCATGCCTTAGCTTATACTCATTTACTTTGGTATAGATAATAATTTCAACTTTGAAACGCGAAGATTATCACATAACTCAAGGAATCGCATTGCGCTGCATTGGAGCTGTTTTTTCCAAAATCAACAATTCGTGACTTGCAATGGTAAAGTGAGTGCAATCCTTGCGTGATTACACTTGCCGCTAGAAATTATTCATGAATCTATGTCTGAACAGATCGCGACGGATACGTAATGTATAAACATTGAGTGCAAAAAACAATTGAAGTTCTAGAATAAATCTGTGCTCCCATATACTCGTGTAAGCATTTATATTGTAGCACTTGCTGCTATATACCGATCTATCTTGGCGTTGCGAGCTCATCGGCTATTTAGTTCGATCGAGAGTATCGCAGAGCAATCTTGAACTTTTCCTTTTTTGCGGAACGCGGACGCACTGCGCACAGCCTGCGCTGCAACCTGCAGTCGTCGTCTCTTGTATCCAGCAACGAAATTCCGGTTCAAGGTCTTACATTTCATTGCAGTTACCTTCAATCTTTTTTCTTTTTCGACGCACTGTAAACTTGTTGTTTATTTTCTTTACTTTTTTCTTTTTCTTTATTCGTTCGGATTTATCTTTCCGATTATTCCCGAGAGTGCGTAGACTAAGATGCTTCGGCATAATCATTATAGGCACCGAAAGCTTCAAAACGTACGAGGAAATTTCTTAAAAAAATTGATATGGAGCTCTAAGGTTACAATTTACTATTCTATGCAAATCTGTTTTTCACTTGAGCTGTGACTCGATTTTCCGATATGTAAAATTTTTCTTTGTTCTGTAAATCTATTAAATGAGATTCATTCTAATAACTTTCCTGATCGTAAAATAAATAATTTCCATGGGCTCTTCAAACTTTTGAAAAAAAATGTAATTTTTAATAATTAATTATAATTTTAGCACTAATTGTAAAAATTGAAAATTCAGAAGGCCATGAAAAAAATGATCAACACTCTAATTCAGTTGGGAGTTAATGTCAAGACTCAAATGAGTGTCAAAAACAATTTAAATTACGACTAGAAAGATGCGAAAAATGAATGGTTTACTGGCTTAAAATTCATGAAAAGCAAGGACATTAGCCGTGATTAAAAATGATCTTGCATTTGCGTGCAATGGAAAAAATTAAGAAAGAATAATCATACAGAGAAAAGAGAAGGAGGGCTCACAGACAAAAATGAAAGATGAAAAAATCTAAAACTTTCCTCTGCTAAACCGGTTCTAAATGCAAGGTACTCAATTTTAAACTACTAATGGAAAGAACCACAAATTTTGAAGAAATTATTATAATTTATATGGGTACAAAATAACCATGTGGTTCTAAACAGGTAGGTAAAAAAATCTTCGAAAGCGTCATGAAAAAGATTCGAACGTAGGCATGACTCTTGAATAATTTTAATTTCTGAAATGTATACTATACAGTGGTTGTTAGCAGAAGACACGCTCCTCGCGCACTTGAAAGATGACAGGATATGCGAAAGTATTCGTGTAAAAGGATTATAAAAAATAGGATCCTTCATTCGACCTTTGCAAACAAAGAAAGACACAAGAATGAAAGTCTTATAGTAAAATCTCATGCTTAGCGTATAGCAATTACAACCCCCTCTCATTTTTCGCGCGCTGGGGCTTATCACCTTCGAATTCGTTAAAATCGGCATGAAAACCAGTGCCACGAACAGTCGGTTATATGCAGGCACACACGATTCGCTCTTACTCGATCGAGAAAAGAAAACAATTGTGTGATTTATATATTTTTGAATCAGTGCATACAACAACATACCTGAAGTATTATAATAAATATAATAAGATTCCGTACAACTCAAGGCTGGTGGGGCAAAACGTATGCGCCTGCAGCAATTCCTGCTGCAAGTCGTTAGTTTTCTTTCTACAACCTGCCACCGCCAGTCAGTGGTCCAGTGTTCAAGTGGTTGGACGCCTCGAAGAAGTGTGCCTCGAAGAAGAAGGTGATCGGTAAAAAGAAAAAGTCATACTTTTGCTGCATCGAACGCTTCTTTGCAAACCCTTGGGAGGTGGGAGGGTTGACAGTGAAAATTGACAAACTCTCAGGTCAGTAGTGTGCGTCTCGCTTTTAATTTGTATTACTCTTAGAATTATACAGATAATTATTTTATCGAGGGTTAACAACCTGATTAAACTTGTTGATTTTTATCGTATGACAATGAAAATACAATTGTAACAGGAAATTTTAAACTACTGCGTATTCAAGCGTTGAATTTTTCGCGATTTTCCACTTCAAAGTTCATTGCAATGCATCCGGTGAATATATTTTTTTCTGTAACTCAATTCTACTAAAATTATTTTTATACCTTTTACAATTAGAGTAATTAGAGTAAACTTTAAAAAAGACGGAAGAATATTTTGGAAAACTTTTATCTTTAAATGCAAATTTTTTTTTATTACTAATTATAATACAAAGGGATTTGTAATAAATGCCGTAATCACAATGAAAAAATTATGAACTCATGTGCAGCTGCAGATTACTATGATAACCATGAAACTAAAATAATCGAAAGAATAATGATCGCGAAAGACCGGTTTAATTGTTTGCTACAAAAAACAATTAAATTGCAATCTGATTACTTCACATCTGATCCAAAAGTTTCCAAGGGTTTAATTTTTTTGATTTTTAGTACTTTTTTTATTCACCCTTTGATCAAATCCAACTGTTTAGTTATAATAGACTTAAATACTTCATCTATCAATGGGAGGAAAAAAGCTTTTTTTAATCATTTATTTTTGCGAAGAATAAAACCTTGGAGCTTCTTTTCACGGACATCTAAGGACATGAATTGTTTATTGAATGATACTCCACACATTGCATAAGGTCAGAATATAAAAGGGAACACTTGTCTAGAAATGTTCAATTACTCAAGGAATACGTGGGAATATTCTGCATCTAAGCTATTGTAATCATTGAATACGTTTGCGTGCACAACTCCAACACTGCTGAAACGCAGATGGTTTTTGCTTAAAAAATTGTTAAAATGCATTTTTCAATTGAATTATTCGATAAATCGAGTTTCAATACGATACATTTAAAAAATATTAAAATATTAATTCTAACATTAAACTTGTTAAATTCGATTATTAAACAATTTAAAATTCGATTATTAAACTCTTTAAATGGTCATTTATCATCTACATTTACTACTACATTTTATTTAACTTACTGCAATAATCACTTTCCAGAAGATTTTAACAATACTGATGTTTTCACTGTTTTCAAAACAGCTTATAACATTTGAATGACGAGTACGAGAAAAGTAATACGGTCGATGTCAAATAAGTAATAATGCGCTATATGTTAAAGGCATTAATTTGCAAAGGATGTATTAAATGATAGCCTAACATTAAGAGTCTTTTGAACAAAAGAACGCTACTTTGAACGATGTATTGAATTGCGTTCTTTTGTAATATAAGAAATTTATTATAAACTAAATTTTTAAGTGTCAATTTATTAATGCAGTGATTGATATTCTGCGAATTTTCAAAAACTATAAAATAAATAATATTTAAGCAGAAAAAAATTATTTTATTTTTAATAGTTCACTAAATTCAATAAATGCCGATAATTATAATGTAGTGTAATTTATAATTGCTGCCGAATAGTAGTAACAATTTTATAAAGAAATCGATGCGTCTTAGCAAACAAAAATAAATTTAAGATATTTCTCAGAGAAAAGTGTGAGAAATGAAATTATTAAATAGAATTAAAACTGAACAATTTTTCGTAAAAAAAATGTATCCCACACTCCGAGTGTTAGAGTAAGAGTAGTCGAGCCAGTGGTTGCAATCTTGGATAATACTCTTGCATTACAAACTCGTTCACCTTGAGGCGCTCTTGAACTGCTACGTAAATACGACGAACATGTTGATGTTTGTGTACAATCAACCGAAAGTTCAACAAATATTTCATTTAATAAAAACCTGATAGCGTTACATTATTTATATATATTAAATAATAAAATAATAAAATGACAATAATTACTGCAATACAATGAAACATAATTTTAGTTTTTCTATTTCAATCGAAAATTAAAAACGAATAATGCTTGAAAAATAACCTTAATTTAATTAGTAGAATGTCAATTACAAATTTTATGTAAAATAGTTTAAAGACTGTATTGATTTCAGGTTGTCTATATTAAATTTTCAAAATGTCTTTCATCTTGGATAAATACAACGATATAATCTGGAAACGATATGGTAAATATTTTTATCGTTAAAAAATCTATTATTGGTACCTCTTCATCATATAAATTATTATTGTCCGTTTCAGATCCACGCACAAGTGACTGGTTTCTGGTATCAGCTCCTGGTCCATTGCTAGCAATCGTCGCATTTTATGTTTACTTCAGTACTTCTTTAGGGCCAAGGTTGATGAAGGATAGGCAACCTTTTACGCTTCGGAAAACACTTATTGTTTACAATTTTATTCAAGTCATTCTTAGTATATATCTCGTTTACGAGGGACTGATGGCAGGATGGCTGAATGATTACAGTTTTAAGTGCCAACCTGTTGATTATTCTGATAATCCGAAAGCTATGAGAGTGAGATTTTTATTACAACCCATTTTTCTTTGTACAAAAATAGATTTCAAAAATATTTTTTAATTTTTAGATGGCCAAAGGTGTATATTTATATTTTGCTTGTAAGCTAATTGAACTTTTAGACACGGTATTCTTTGTGCTGCGTAAAAAGCAGCGTCAAATTTCGTTCCTTCACGTGTATCACCATGCTATGATGCCCGTTTGTGCATGGATAGGAGTTCGCTATGTTCCTGGTGGTCACCCCACTCTCTTAGGTGTCATTAATTCATTCATCCATGTCCTCATGTATGCATATTACATGTTATCAGCTTTTGGACCTGAAATGCAAAAGTATTTGTGGTGGAAAAGACACTTAACGTCTCTTCAATTGGTCCAGTTTAGCATCATTTTGGTACACAATTTACAGGTAAATATCATCAGTTTCCAAGGAAATATCGAAGATAGATTAAAAATAAACAATTTAAAAATATTTTATGAGATTTCTACTAAATATTTTTCTTAATTGGTATGTAAATACTCAAGTATGAATAAAATAAAGGCATTTACATAACTTTTAAGAAAAATATTCAAAAGAAATTTCAGAAAATGTTTTTAAAAATTTGGATTTTTACTCAACTTTTTAATTCTATTTTATTTTCATTAAAAAATTAGCTGCTATTATGAAAACAATTCATTTCAGATACTATTCACGGACTGTAATTTCCCGAAATTTTTAGCCTTTTTACTCTGTATAAATGCAGGCTTATTCATTTATCTTTTTGGATCATTTTATGTTAAAAACTACATTAAAGATAAAAACCAAGATAAGATGAAAAAAGATGATGAAAAATTAAACTGTGGAACATCAAATAGCAGTTCTAAATCTAATGGACATTCCAATGGATATGACAAAAGTAGGACGAAAATGGATTAAAAAATAGATAGATCATCACACCATTTCAGTAGTATTCGTCGATCTTCCAACTATTTGTTTAAGATTATTAGCATCGTATGAATTTTAATGAAGACCATCCAATTTATTGTTCAAAATGAACTATTTTATGAAATTACAAAAAGATTGAAATGACATGATTCTCTTCAAGTACAAAAATATGGAGTAGAAGAAACTGTTTATATTACCGGTATAGTTTCAATTGAATTAAAATATGGTTAAAGGCTTATAGGCGGCTCAAAAAATCATTCCATTGCATTTTTTAAAATTACAAAGCTTTGATTATTAAATTTTTTTATTTTGTGCGTTTTTTGATATTTTGACATTTTTGAAAATTGCATTCACCTGTCTTAATATTCAGAGCAAACCAATTGAGTTACCTTAGCTTGGTGGTGTACATCTCTTCAAAACATTAATGGTTACGCTCACAACCTCAAGTATGTTTTTTATGACGTGAACGTATTCATCGAAGGTGACCTAAAGAAGTGTATATTACCCGGCGCTGTAGCTCAATGAGTTCACTTTGAATATAAATCAAAATCTTGGAATTTTTAAAAATTTAACGGAAAAGAGAAGAAACATCCTATCGACAATTTGAATAAAAATGTTTTCGATTTCAAACCTCCTACAAGCCTTCAACCCTACCGGTAGATATATTGGTAATAGTTTGTAATATAACTTTTCTATCTAAAGCTTACAAAAAATATCAGTTCATACGAACTTTGCATTACCGTACAGTAGTAATGCGAGTGGTTAGTGAAGAGCAGCGCCATCTCACGCGGCCTTTATGTATGGTTTGCTTATCGTAACAGATTTACACTGTCGCTTATAGAAAACTTAATTGGTTTGAAAAATATTGACTATAGATAATACTTACTAGTATGAGGGTAGAAATGAAAGTCAACAAACTATATCATACAATAATTTACTTAAAAAAAAGTTGGTGTAAGTAGTTAACAAGTTCCAAAATTTTCCCATAAACAACAATGTAAATCTGTTAGGATATAACAGGTCGCGTAAGATGGCACTGCTCCAACCCGTGGCGCTCACATTACTTTCCAATGGTTAACTGTTTCTTCGTTTAAGAATGTAATACAGTAACAGAGATGAGTCGCATCATAGATATTAAACAATACTTATACATTATTAAGCGAGCATAAGTATTTGAAGTACAAAGAAAATGGCAAAATAACTATAGTAATTAAACAAAAGTGAGATGTAAATTCAAATTTTTGCCGAAAAATATTTTCATTAATATATTTATATTAATTATGAATTAACTTAATTATGAATTAACTAGAAAAAGCAAAAACTAATTTAAAAAAAATAAATAAAATAGCTGAAAACTTATGATGAATACCAACTAAAAATTAAACGTTTGCTAAATGATCTAGTTGATCGTTTTTGATTAATCTTCAAGTATATTTAAAATCTTATATACTTATTTCTCTTGGGTGCTGTGCACCTTGATTTTCTATTTTAAATTAAAAACGGAAACTTAATGTTGGATGAAAATGATCAACTTTATCGTTCATGATTCCCAACTGTCTATATTTATGTTCATCTTTCGATCATTAAACACAAATAAATAAACATATTTTAGAAGTTTCACTTTGACTTTTGATGTATATTTTAATGTCTTTAAATGTAATTATGTAATTATTGTACGTATCTATCATAAATATCTTGATAGTTTTATTACGCCTGGAATTTTTTAAAATAAAATGGTACTGTAATAAATAAGTTTTTGTTAACTCATTTATGCAATAATAAATAAAGGTATTAATTGACATTTTCCTCATTTATCTTATTTATGATCCATGTTTGCAATAAATAGGTCATCATTAAATCAAATGGATTTTCGAATTAGACTCATAAGAAAATAAGTTATAAAATGTTACCTACTTCAAAATGTGATTACGTAGCGCGCATATTGTTAACCGTATCTTACACAAAAACTATTTTAATGCGTCGCGCATATTCACTAACATTCATGTTGGCTCATGACTTGGGGTCAATTATATGACCTTAGTCAAATCAGATTTCCGCTCCAAGTACTAATATAACTTGTGCTGACGTGCTGGCCAAAGCTTAGCAGTACAATTATCATAATTTTGTCCCTTAAAAAGCCTATTGTGGCTCTGCTATTTTTAAAAACTGCAAAAATATTTTGACATTGATCAACACAATGTGACAGGAGTATAAGTACACTGATAAAAACTAATATTCGACTTGAAATGTCTTCGTATTGAGTAAAACTGTTAAAAATTAAAAAACCATACAAACTTTTGATAAAAAAAAATAATTCTGAACATTGATAAACTATTAGTTTTTATTTTTTTGATACAAAATAAAATTGGAACTTTGATACACATTATAATTTCATCTATGAAGATTGAAAATGTATTTGAATCGAATTGTACTTGAAAAATACTTCTTTTTATTAAATGTTTTTTAATAAATAAAAACGTCGAATGATTACTTATAAATAAGTTTTCATGATGATAGGATAAGTCAATTTCAGAGTTTAAACTCAAATTAGTTCGCAAGATGTAAATAAACCTTATTTTAACGTCAGTTCCGTATCTCGGCTCATTTGAAAAGCAAATGTATTTATTTTTTCTTTAGCTAGCTAATATGAATAGGATGAATTCTCAAATCTTCTGAAATTTTGGTCAAATTATCTAAAATTCTTTTGTTCTCTAAATTTCACACGCAAAAATCATGCGAACATACACATTTGTAATTTAGTAGATAAAAAATAAAAAGTTTAAAAGTAAAAGATTGACGTACAACAACATCAAAATATGTTAACTACGTAATGGAATAAAAGTCATTGGCCGTATTATCACCTTATTTAACTGAGAAAGCAGAATCAAAAAATCAAAAGTTCCTTGAACTCTATTCCATTTGTGATTGTGTTATCGAATTAGCATATCATTAAATGAGACAAAATTCATTGATATATAGAAGTGACTTTCAATTTTTATGTACTTAATCTTGTTAATGTCATTATTTTACCTTCCGGGTTAAATTTTGACAATACAATTTTTTTGCCGTCTGTCCGGTCGAAAATGTCTAATAACAAATACCAATAAATTCAATTTTTATTAATATTGACAAACGGAATTATTAAAAAAGAAATTAAAAAATATATCGTCAAAATGGGTTTATAGATTTTGTACATACTTTTCACGGACTCTTGATTCAACGTAAGATCAGTTCTAACTAATAAAAACGTATGATTAATTCTTTTTCGTAAATAAAACTTTACAGGGTGTTGAGTACTTACTTATCGACTAAAATGTTATTATATTGTTGTTAACTCTCAAAAGTCATAGTTGTTCTTTCAAAAGTTTTACTGTTTAAAACTAAGAGCACGTAATAATAAATCGCTAATGTTACAGAGAAGGTTACTCATTAACTATATTCTAATAATTAAAAGATTTATTGAGTACGATCATCACTCACATATTGTTCTCACTAGTTTGAAGTTGAAGGAAGATAAGCGAATAAAATAATTTTTCAAACTCATAAATTGTACGAGTAACAAACTAAATATTGGCATCAAGTTAAGAAAAAAATCAATTGTTTTACATAACGGCGAAGCTACACGTATGCGGAACGGTGAATACAAAGAAAGTGGGGGGATTTGATTTTTCGTTTTCCATTAACAATCGACCAATCCGCGCTTATGGTTTTTTACCCCTCTCATTGTACCCAACAACTTACATTACCAAAGCTTTAAAAGCTGAACGAATAGAAATAATCGATCTCGCGCGACGTTTGAATGCTTCGTGTTAAAGACGCAAATTCTTAAGTCAGTACAATAAAGTTCCGATTCAGTGTATAAAAGAGTGATGTTTCGGAATTTTAATACAATGACCAGACTAGCCTAATGGAAAATGAACGAATAGCATCAGTTCTCAACAGTTCTCCACGGTGGTTGGGAGGGTCAGAGAACAGTTTTAGTTTTGTATTTGAATTTAGTTTACATTAAGTGTGATTTAGATCTATAATTACGAAAAAATAGTCTAGCAGCAGTAGTCCTGCTAATACTTTTCATTTAATTTCCATTATTTTTATTTTTTTTTTATCAAAAAGGAGATATTTGCAGGTGACTTGAACGTTGTATGTGAAATTAGTGAGTGTGAAGAGATTTAATCCACAAAATAAATCATGGCATTAATAATAAGGAGCCTCATCGATGGCTACAGATACATAAATGACGAAATATCTGGTAAGTTAACTTTTTCAGCTCAATCATAATTTGAAGTAAATTAAAAACATCAAATCCAAAATTTACATGATAATTAAAGTGAATATTAATTCTATTACTATTAGCCTATTTATATTAACTAGTTTACTATAAAGATATTATTATTCTCATATTTTAAAATTTGTAAAACTTTTTACTCAATTCATACATATTGTATTCTACTAACCTTATTCAGCGCACTTCACGAGACAAAAAATTTTAATAATGATAGATTTACAATACATTGTGTGAAATTACCATTAATCTGTGACTTTTGAAATGCTTTAAAAAAATGATTTTTAATCTTTGAATGACTTAAGAATAATTTATTTTAAAACTTGACACAAATGTATAAATAGTGATTCCCATAATCTAACTCATAATATTTTACATATGTATATCTTTAATTGATGTCGTTTATTGATTTGTGCTTATCTTAAAAAAAATTAAATCATACTAAAATAGGATACTCGAACCAGTGAATGACCACTTTTGGATGTGTATTAATTATACTTTTTCCTCGTTATATGATTATCGGACATGGATAACAGCATGCGCCGTTCTCTAAAAAATTGAATAACGTCCATACAAATATATTTTTAATTGTTTTTCATGGCATATTTTCCAAAATGGTCATTCACTGGTACCCGATCATTGATTTCACTGATTATTTAATTAAGTTTAAAACGTAAATGTAAAATCAATTTTAGAATTCTCCGCCCGTTCCACAACTAACTTCAAAACTTACGCTAAAAGCCAATGAAAATTTCAAAAAAGTCCCAGTATCTACGCACAACTACTCTGTAAAAGAAGATAATGTGGAAAATTAATGAAAATTATACCTTCCAAATTATTTGAATCATGCAAAAAGTAAAACGAATGGAAATTTTTTAAAAATTCGTGGAAGTAGCCAAGCGTCATTTGATGAAAAAATATTATGCAATTTTGGAATCATCGGAGTTTCCAATGAAATTCAATTGCATGGCGTATTCTTACTCGCTGTATTAAATGCTTGCACATAAATTATCGTTATCTTGAAGTTCATTCACAATTGCGTAATGTTTTATCAATTTTAAATAATTTTTTACCTCGTCACACGTTCGATTTTGTCTATAAACTTGATAAGTTTAATGGGGGAATTTGATTCATCAACAATTAAATGATTAATAATTCGAGGCTATTTTACATTTAGGTATCGTAATTTTATAGAATTGAACTTTGAAAAGTAAGGACTAAAAGAAATCCATTAATGAAAACAATAAATAGCATCTCACGTTACTTAGCGGAAAATATATGTGACTAAAATTGTATTCACATAAAATCAAAATTTTTTTCGTGGCACGGAAAAAAGTCTTATTACAAGCATTCTCAAGCGGTAATGTGATATGCATTTACAAATTTCATGTTCTACGAAATCGTTTCTTTTAAATCAAAAAATGGAATGGATGGAATGGGATTTCAACGAACAATTAATGATTATAATAATAATTACAATGGAAAATATTTTCATTTTAGATCCGAGATCAAGGGATTGGTTTTTGATCGGGACACCATGGCCTGGCCTGGCACTTTTAGGATTTTATTTGCATTTCACCTACAGACTTGGACCAAGCATAATGGCAAATAGGCCACCTATGAAACTAGATCGAATAATGCAAGTGTATGACGTTATACAAATAATATTAAGTAGTTATCTATTCTATAAGGTAAAATGTGTAAATGATATTCTTTTTTAACAAAATTTATTGTTACTATAATACCCTTATATTTCTACAGGCACTAGTATTGGGTTGGATGAATGATTACAGTTTTACTTGTGAGCCGGTCGATTACTCATTCAGTCCAAAAGCTATTGAGGTATTAATTCTATCTTTTCAGAACGATATTATATCCAAAAATTTTTTTAATTTTTGCATCGCATTCTCTGCTAATATTGAATTCATTTTTTATTTAATTACAATTTTATGTTGAAAAAACTCATGTGAACCAATTATAAAATCTATGTTACCCTTGAGTTTTCGTCGACAATTAACACATCTTTTCATAGACGATCTCGAATTTATTATTTAATAATTTAACTTATAATTTTTATTGTACTTGACATATTTTATGCCAAAAAGAATATTACAAAGAGTGATTTTTTAGATTGCAAGGACAGTCCATTTGTATTTTATTGTGAAGATTATCGATCTCCTTGATACAGTCTTTTTTGTGTTACGGAAAAAAGATAAACAAATATCATTCCTCCACGTTTATCATCACGCAGGAATGGTAATGGGCAGTTGGGGAGGGGTCAAGTACCTCGCCGGAGGTCACGCGACATTTTTAGGTAAAAATATAATCGTTCAATCTTGCCGATCTTATTCGATAGTATGTAATGTTTGAAAACTATCAAAAACTATTATTTTTTTTTACAGGTCTAGTGAATTCATTCGTTCACATTATTATGTACACGCATTACCTCATAATGTCATTGAAAATTGCAAAACCTTGGTGGAAAAAGTATATAACACAGCTTCAATTGTTTCAATTCATTCTGCTGCTCATTCATTTTTCACAATTACTTTGGACCAAGGATTGTGGTTTTCCACGTTGGCCAGCAGCTGTCTTCATACCTCAGAATCTATTTATGATAGTACTCTTTGGAGACTTTTATTATCAAACTTACGTTAAGAAGAAGCCAAAGAAATCTGCGAACGAAAATGGACAAGCTAATAACGAGGCATCTAATGGCAAACCGAAGTCTCAATAATAGTCTACAATTAATGCACAAATTTACCGAAAATTTAATTTGTATAGATTCATCATGTTAAACTTTCTCATTTGAAGTTATCAATCGAATAATTAAAATTTTCATAGGAATCTGCTAAATGAGATATATTTCATTTTTTTCCAGAAGTTTATTTAGAATCATTTTAAATAATTTTTTCGAAGCATTAATTATGATTAATTTTATTTAATAGCTTATATACTAAAAATTCATAGCTCATTAAATTATCGATTCAAAAGATTTCTTTTTAAGTGCAACTTATAAAGCTAGTATATTATTAAACTGCTAGATTATTCTAATAATTTATTTATTCGAATCCAAAAATCGTACGTTCAAAAATTAAAATAAATATGCAAAAAGTTATCCACAGTTACAGTTATATTGCATTAGGTCAGTAGCATAGATTTACATTCACCGCGTATACATTTTTTCGATGAATATTTATTCTGGTTTCGACACATTCGAAATCATACGGGATTGTTGCGATCTTCATTTGTATGATAGTTTAAGATGTATTTTGCATTTCAGCACACTTGTGTAATTTTTTTTTTTAAATTTTAATTAACATTCAATACATGCTCTTAAATTTTAAATTGACTATGCAAGATATAAATTTTAAAAATTTGTGAAACTTATATACACGAATTACTTTATAACAAAAAAAAATCAACTGCTAAATTATTTGAAAACAGAGGAGCATATTTATGAGTGTAACAGTATAAAACGAGTCAAACAAAGATATATTCAAGGTGCAGAAAGTGTGAAGCTTTAAACGAAGTTTTACCAGCAAATCATTCGTCAATAGCTCTTTTTTAATTGTTTCTAGATGTATGCCGTATAAAAATAATTGTTTGATTGTTGAATGTTTGATTTCTGTAATTTAGTTCAATAGTAATATAATTAAATAAGTCCATGATTTTGAGTGCAATTCTTTCAAATATTTGTATCGATTAATGATAGATTGTATATTAATGAAGTTCAATACATATAGTTAATGATTTCAAAATTTTGTCTGACTACTTTCTTCGTGGTTCAACTGAATCTATAAATACAGTTTCATACGAAAGGTGATATAATGAAGTTATTTTTAACATACCATATTACATGATATTTGTCAATTAATTTAACTTTCTTTAAAGCTTATCTAAAGTTCCAAAATTCTGAAATTCACCTTTATCGCAATTTCTTCGTTTCCCGTTATGCTTTACTTCATGTAGGCATGTATATCCTAAATTTTAATAAAAATTTTTCGATGAACTAATTTCAGCTTCTCTTTTAAGAAAAGAATTTATCCAAATGCAATAAATATTGCATGTTTTCAATAGTATTTATTCAAAAAACTTATTTAAATAAAATTAAAGTTATTTAACTTTTTAAATAAAAATATTATATTGATTGAAAAAAAGGATAAGAGTTGCATATTTCATCGATAATTGGAAGATATACGAAGCTCATAATAAAATTTAAACAGCAAGTTTTTATAAGAAAAAATTTATCGTAAATTTCTTGATACATTATTTGAGCGATAATGATAATAATTGATATTGCAAAACGGAAACATTCTAAAATAATAGGAGATCAATTATTGCACATTAAATTTATATCAGGAAAAACGATACTTTATACACATCTTAATTTTCTAAATAAATTGTGAAGCTTAAATTGTTCAATTTTTCAAAATATTTTCACATACTTTACTATACTCTTTATAAAAAAAAAAAAATTACTAAGTGGTCATTGAGGTATAATAACTGTAACGCGAGCGTATGAAGTATTACAGCGGTGGAGGCATACTAGAGTGCTTCCCACTCCTATCGTTTTGTTCCCCGGAAAACAGCAATGCTTGGTGGTAAAATGATGCGGTGAGCATTTATCGAAACACCTGTGAAGCTTTTTCACTTGATGCTGGCTGAAGGAACAGTCAGTTTTTCGAGTGCCTCGGTCACAGTCATCCAGGATTCTCTTTGATTCATAGTGAGAAGTGGAAGAATAAACTTAAAGTTTATACTTGGCCTACTATTGTACGGCTTATTTCAATTTTTTCAAAATGTGAGTCAAATTATTTAATCATAATTCTTTTTATTATTGTCTGAAGTAACGTTATCTAGTAACTCTAATCCATTCTTAGAATTCTATAGGACCTAATTAATTTGTTTTTAAAAATTTTTTAACACATTTATTATTTTTAACATTTTGACTATTATTTCATTAATTTATAATTTTTATACTCCGTTTCAAGGATAAAACAAAAGTATACACATTTTATTTTCTTATCAATACTACATATAGAAGTACCACTTTCACAGGCTAATACGTTTAAACAATATTTTTTTCAAACCAAAAAATTCTAGTACTTTAATTTATCAATACAAAAATGAAAAAATAATTCCATTGGGTATATTTTAAATTTTATGAAATATTTTTTTCAGATTCTTACATTAAAACCATGACTTATTTGATGTCACTTTTTGTCAACAACTACCATGAAATATTGCAATCTAATAAAGGTAAGAATAATAATACTTGAAAACGTCGATTTTTTTATGTTAAAATATAAATAGAGCAACAGTGACTTTTTAATTAGTTTCATCACAAATACGATTTTTGGTATAAATTAAATGCAATCTAGTTTATTGTCTGATGTACATTTTCTCTATAATGCAATCTAATCGTCAGCTCAGTCTAAAAAGCTTGAATGTAAATTTAAATTCACACAGTTTTTTAACTATTAATTTATTCCCCTAATTTAATTTAAAGAACAACACTGTTAAAACTTCATTTAAACAAAGTTACTTATGAAAGTCTGGATTTATTTAGATTTACCATAATCGGATTCTGCATGTTGTGTTATTGTAAAAATATATTTATTATATATATGTTCCCATGGAAAAATATTTAAGCTTATTAAAAAGCTTAAGATTGCAAGATACTTATTTAAGTCGGTTCGATTGGATGATATGAAAAAATTTCTAAACCAAAAAATATTTCAAAATTTAGAAAGTTTTTCGGAATGTTTTTTGATGGAATTTTGGGAAACCAATATTCATTTTTATAATAAATGATTTAAGGTTTCCTTCTAATTTTACATGTATATTTTGTCACTGATCACATAGCACTCGTAAGTTTCTGTTTTGTATAAACGAAAAGGAATTCGCTTACTCAGTAAATCAAATTTTTATTGCACGATGTACACACATTTTTGCCTGCCTATGGTTACAAATTGAACTTGAAGTAATTTGAGAAAGTATAATGATTCATTCGCCATCAGTTTTAACTATAACACATCCGATCAAGGATCGATTCTGATCTTGCCGACTGTATTATAATTATTTATAATGAATAGTGAGGTTCTGATGATTGTCTGACTTGATGAACATGAAAAATATTCAGTTTTTAAGTATTGCTTGACTTTACAGATCCTATGGTCGACACTTGGCCATTGATGAGCTCACCAAAACCCGTTCTCCTAATACTTGCTGCTTATTTGACTTTTGTTTTAAAAATTGGACCATGGATTATGGAAAGGAGGCCAGCTTTTGAGCTCAAAACTGCTTTAATACTGTACAACGCTTTTCAAGTGCTGTTTAGCATCTGGCTCGTAACTCTGGTAAGAAAACCGCTTGCCCCTTGATTTTTTAGCCTCGTATGGTTTTACGACACCTGTACGCACATAAACGTTACTCGTATATCATATTCTCATATTATTGTTCTACTTTATTATGATGCAGACTCTCAACGTCAACTTGTTGGACCTTGTTTTTACCGATACCTGCAAAGCTGATAGCGCACCGGCCGATGGTGTTTTACAAAATACGGTTAGAGTGATGTTTTACTTTATTTTTTCTTAGTTGATTCCGACAAAGGAATTATTATGTAATCTGTTAATTAGATGAGAAAACAATCATTGATAAATACTTCACATTGAAACAGTTTTTTAATTTTTCATACTTCATGATCAGTTCAATTTCAAAAATTAAATCATCATAAAATTTTATGAATAATAAAAAATATTATCTACCTAATGAAAAAATATTAATAAAAAATTTATCAAATTAGAACTTCTTAAAGATTTAAAAAAAATAAATTTTGATACTTTTTTTAGATCACATAGATGGTTACTGATATTAAAATAATCCTATTGAAAATTCAAAGATAATATGAAATATTATTCAGTTATTCGAAAATATACATTTCTTCCTATTTGATCACAATTAAAGTTATCCTTTTTTTCCAGCTTTCAATCGGTGGATGGTGGTACTTTTTTTCAAAAATAACGGAACTGCTGGATACTGTAAGTTAATTGAAATGCTTTTTTGAATTTAATTAATTTTTTACGACATGTTTTTAATTATTATATTTTTAGGTATTTTTCATACTTCGTAAAAAATACAATCAAGTTTCCTTTCTTCATGTTTATCATCATACGATCACCGCTTTGTTCTCTTGGTGTTACCTGAAATTTTTGCCAGGTGAACAGGGCATCATAATCGGATTTTTGAATTCCTTCGTTCACATCGTCATGTATTCTTACTATTTAATCGCCGCCCTCGGACCCGAATACAAAAAATACTTGTGGTGGAAAAAATATATGACCTGGTTGCAATTGGTAAGACTCATACAAAAACATAAAAATAATTTTCTATATAGTGAGTGTCTATTCGGTGCACGTAGTATTCGTGAAAAGCATATTTAGTTATAAGATAATAATATCATAAATTTTTCGGACAGTGCAATGCATTTTTGAGAGTACTTTATGGCTGCCGAATTCATACTGCCGTCTATATAATTGAATTCCACTTATACATTTAAGTTATTGAAAATTGTTTTTACATCAGTGTCCCAAAAGTAGCTATTTTTCAACCACTGCATTTAACGGGAAATTGCTATTTTCGGGCCATGGAGTATGAAAATTATCATACCGACCTAGACTGGGGGAAAAAAAGATCCAGTGCACATAACTAGCGTATAAGGCGAAATTGAGAAATAACACGTGCTCCGGAATTTTTCTTTTTCTCCTGGTTACGGGCAGTAATATAGTTTTCTGATATTACTTCTTCTTCTGATACTTCTTCTTTTTCTGATATTACTTCTTCCGATATTAATTTCATTATAAGCTCACTTTTGTCAACAACTTTTCTAATTTTACAGATTCAATTTGGAATGATGCTCGTTTATCTTATGTACACATTGGTGTTTGACTGCAGAATGCCAAAAGCTCTCACCTACTTTTTTGTCACAAACGTGGTAATATTCATCTACTTGTTTAGCGATTTTTACATCAAGTCGTATAACAAACCAAAGAGGAAGTGAATGAAAATTATTGCATTTTTAAAAACTTCGATAAATTAAATTGTGTATATAGTTTTTTTGGGGTCCAATTGTTCATGAAGTGAAAATATTCACAAACTTTTTTATCTTTAAAGTAGATGTATGTTAATTGCCATATGAATATAATATTAGTTTTGTTACGATCCTCGAATCGATTAGTTTTTTAATAATTTTTGCAAAAAATTTACTTATAGTATCAAAAAAATTAAGATATATAAAAATAATTTTTATAATAAAAAGAATAAGATTTGAATTTGAGTTTTAATTAATATCATCATTGTCAACTACAATAATACTACAATTACGATTATACTCAAAGAAGTTTAGACATTCACAATTTTGCTTCCTCATGAGTAAATAAAATCCGGCCTATACTTAATACAAGATTATTATTGAGTTTCAAATGAAAAACCTTAATATTGCAATTGGAACTATATATTTTTTCATAGATTTATCTAAAGTATTGATCAAATAAATTAATAAATTCATATATAGATATAATTAAATTTTATTGTAAACATCTGTTAACCGAGTTTTAAATATATATAACTAAAAATATTTTATTAATTAAATTAATTACAATCTATCCGTCCATTCATTTTTTATTAGTTACGCTGCGTAAATTATTTTGTAATTACATTACAACACAAAAGTGATAACACTTAATATTTATAATATAAATAATTTTTACGGACCTATTGATGTATATTTATAACAAATTTACAATTTGCCTATTTTTGTGACTCAAATGTAATATTGATATAATTTGTTTAGTTATAATAATATTTTATGAAAAATTGTTCTTACAATTAGTGAAAACATTATGCACCTATCACGTGCGACTTTTCCGCTCTATTTGATTCTTTCAAAACATCACATTGAAATAATGAAGTAAATCATTTATTCATCTTTTACTATTTTATCGCGAATGCAGCTGAAGGAAGCATTTAGAATGATATAGATATTGACTCATATTTTTGGATATGTAGCACAACTGCTCTAGATGTGAAAGCACAGTTAACTTATCTGCAAGTGTAAAACATTTTCATCCGACAGTTCAATTGCACCTATATAGATGCCGTATAAGTATTTTTCCAAAATGCCAACAGTTAAATCTAAGAAGCTAGAAATTGTAAAAATTAACTTAATACTTTAAAAATTTTAATCACAAAATTATAAAAAAAATTATTGCAGAAGACTTCATATAATCCAAAATTTTAATCGATTTTTTTAATTTACCGATTTTACCGACCGTCTCTTTTCATTTTATTCTCACTATATTTTTCAATGCATTTGATACATTTTTTATTGATATTTATCATCAAAATTAGACTTACAGAATTTTATTTCAAATGAAACGGTAACTACGGGCTATCTATTATTTTAAAGTGGAAGAGCATATAGGCGATGTATTATAATTGTACACTTACAAGATTATGCGTAAATTTAATAACTCTATTATAGCGATGTTCCTATCTATATGTATGTATATAAATAATTTTCAGCAATTTTTACCATCCATTAGTCTACAGTTTGACATTGGAAATATATGAAAAAGATATATAACAACTTTAAAATGTGTATAACAATTTTCGCCGTCTTTGTAGATATGAAAATAGGCTCGTGCTTTTTCAAACTCATTCTTAATATGATAAATTGAATACATCAAAAATGGCCACAAAAAACTAAAATTGCTATGATTTAGATGCACTTTACATAAAAATTATTTTAGCTATCTTGTAAAAACATTAAAAATCTCAACTGTAATTTTCAAAACACTTTTAATTTCTAAGATTTAAAAAACCAATTTAATTCGATTGTCTTTCGACTGATAATAAACTAAAAATATGTCTATCACATGAGAAAGCATAAATTTTATCACACAGGCTTGAAATATATTTTTTTGATGTTTAAGACGTTTTTTATTGCAGAAACAATATTTTGTAATTGAAAAAACCACGTAGAATAATGTTCTTATCTACTGTAGAAAAAGTGACAGCAAAAGTTATCATAAAACAACTATTTACAAAAACATTCCTTTCACTGATAATCAATTTTAGATGACGCTTAAGCTTTTTTAAGCGGATTTAGTTTTACCATTTTTGTGTGATGCACCATTCGTTAATGAATTTCCCTTGTGTGTGGGCTTGCCGTTTGTTTCGGTCGATGAAACGACATTTTTAACTTTGCCTTCTATCGATACTGCGTCGTGATCGTCGTCCTTTTTTTTCTTGCCGTCTCCTGTGTAGGCCTGATTGTAGAACTCGGAAAAGAGGAAGTAGAAGAAAATGGCATTAGGTAAAATAAATACAAGAGACCAACGTGGATAATCACAATCGTAGATGAGAAGCTGGAAGCTGTGCAAGAAAGCCAGACAGAATTGACCCTAAAAAATCATTTTCAATTTTAAAAATATGAAAATAAAACTATTGAGATTCAGAAAATAGATTTTTAAAAACTAAAGGAAACTTTTCATGATTTGAAATACTGTATGAATTCAAAATAATCTGATTAATAAGCAGCAACATGAATCTTATAATTACCATCTGCAAAGTAGTGATATATTTCTTCCACCAAAGATATTTCTGAAGTTGAGGTCCAACAGCAGCAAGCATGTAATACGTGTACATAATAATATGAACGAAGCTGTTGATGACACCTGTGAACAAATAATAGGGTCTTGAAACTGATTTTCAATTATTATCTTTTATTTTTTTATTGTATCGTTGACAATTGATCAATTAAAAAATTTAAATAAATGATGATATTACACGATTGGTTGAATAATGTTTGAGCACAAACTCTCGCGGTTTTTTCGTATGACATAAACGATTGCTGCGCAGGCTTACGCAGAGTCATTATATGCACGAAAAAGATTGCCTAGAAATAACTCTTATATCATGATTTTGTTTGCAGTCGTGTGCATAATTTGCACTCAGAATCTTGTCCCTTTCACGTCAATTGTATTTTTTTATGCTGAATTCAATGTTCTTTATACAAGTAATTGTGAGCGAGCTCTGTTATCCTAATTTTTTTTTCATGCATATTTTTCATTTGACTTTTTTCTTTATCCGAAATACTTAAAAATGCACAACCTGCTTCTCGTAGTTACTTCGAATGTGTCAGTTCACTCAATTTTCATTGAATGAAAAATACTTACCGATGAAAGTTCCATGACCTCCGGGATAATATTTAGCAGCACCCCAGGAAATCATTGGCATGACAGTGTGATGATACATATGGAGGAACGTTATTTGTTTGTCTTTCTTTCGCAGGACAAAAAAGACTGTATCGAGGAGTTCAGTGAGTTTGGCAATAAAGTAAACATAAACTCCTCTCGCCACCTGAAATATGTCGAAGCAATGAAAAAATTGTCAGAGTTAATAATTTTTACAGTTACTATGTCTTTTTTTATCGAAATGTTCAAAATGCAAGTAGCGCTTTTCGAAGAGCATACTAAAGGAAACATATTTAAATAAAACATTTTATAATTTTTTAAAACACAATATTTGAATCTTTCAGACACATAAATTTCGAAACTCACCCTTAAAGCGTGCGGGGAATTGGAAAAATCAACAGGCTCGCACTTCCAGCTGTAGTGGAAGAGCCAGGCACCAGTTAGACCTTCCCAGAAGAGCCATACACTAAGTAGAACTTGGAAAAAATTGTAAATGACTAGAGTATTTTTCAGCACAAACGGCTTGCGATGCTCCATTTGGCGGGGACCCCATGACAGCACGAAATAGAGATAAGCGAACATCAAGCCCAGTCCCGGCAACGGCGATGCTAGCAAGAACCAATCTCTCGTTCGTGGATCTGTGCAAGTAAGGCAAAGTTGGTATATTATTTTACTTGCTTCTCTCGGAGTTGCGAAAAGAAGCAGATTTTAACACATACCTGAGAGTTCCCAAAATACATGATGGTAAAATTTGAGAATGGTGTTATTTGAATACAACGTATCACTGGCATGCAACGTACTGCCGTTCATTTTGAGTAATTAACTGAAAAATGATAATGATTATGAAATTTTAAAGATGATAAATCATTGAGCAGTACATATATATATATATTTGACATATTTAAAATTTGATATAATATCGAGTAATTTTTATGATAATATTCATGAAACACTCGGAAGACATTTGTATGACTTCTCTATTTTGCCTATATGAAGTTCATTCACTTCAATCTTCACTCCACTTTCTAACAACATTATAATAATAATGCAATGTAACTTGAAGCAGTAAGAGGTCCTCGACCTCAACGTCGAGTGCCTGTGAAGCAATGGTGCGTGCCAAATTTTTTTAATAAGTCATCTTCGGTACTTGATCATGCCATTGAAGATCTCTTCATTTGTCAAATATTAAGTCATGATGCGTATGTCTTATTATAATAAATATAGTTAGTTAATTGACGATAATCGCTGTGGATGTGATAGATAATTAATCCGAAGAAAATGACCCTAGATACTGCAAAAGTCATATGCGTATTCCGTTATAAACATCCTTTCGTCTCATATAAGCAGTTGCATCAGTGACCTCGAAAAACTAACGAAAAAGAAAAAGATGCACTTGAAAAACGGTACGAGCTGCACGATCCCCTCCTCTCTTTCTCTCTCTCTTTTCTGACTGCAGCTGCATATATACATGGAGTAAAATGTGTGTCAGTAGCAGTGAAGCCGGCAGAACAGCCGTGTATTTACTATATACTATACGTCCGATACTGTACAGGTATAGGCAAGTACGCATGTGCGAGAATCAAGACCGGTTCACAAGTAAACCAGCAAGAGTATCACGTGATGTACATTCTTTGCAAGCGGTCAGCTGGATTCTGTAGCTTTCAGAGTATTATGAATGGCTTATATTTGCCACTTGCCAAGTGAAAATCGTAAGCATGCAAGCGCGCATGCTCATATATTATGTACGAATGATTTCGTCGTTTACCGATCGCTTTGTGACGAAGTGACGAAGAAAAACGGACTGTATGATTTTCGCCATCTCACTACACATAGTTGAAATTATCAATTACATTACCGTTACAAATCGGCTCAAAGTACAATTTACAATGTATCGGAAGTATGCAATTCTGTTGCGGCTCTTCGTCATCCGGGGTTTTTATGCGCAATTAGGCTCTCGCGCACTCTGTATTTCTTTCCTCGGAATTTTGTTGAATTTCAAAATGGATCCAAGGACTTCCTCATTGATGCTCGATCTTCTATCGAGAGACACGTAAGAAATGTTTCGAGACAGTAATGGAATTCATTATGCAATGGAGATCTCGCAAAAGGAATGATGCATTAATAAGAGCCGCACAAAGGCGCGCTTCAGTCGGTGTTTGAAAAAAGCGGCTAATTCGCATAGGAAGAAGCAGTACGTCAACGTTTCTCGACACTGCATGTAAACGAAATAATTACAACTCGAGACTCTTGTGGCACTACAACATGAGGCGAACTTAATTTCGTAATTTTTTTTATAGCACTGCGTGGCATAAGTTCACATCTATGGCACGCTTTTCGGTGGCATAAGTCGCACATTCTGGCACCGCTGCGTTCGCATCACACTCGCATACGCTCGTGCGCTAACCTCACTTCGCGCTACCAGAAAGTGCGACTCATGGCTCGGAAAAGGGGGCATAAATGTGAACTTTGCACAGTACTATAAAACGTTGTTCGATACTCGGGCCATAGGGGACACTTTTCGGCCCAGCTATTAGGACCCTCGCTGCGCTCGGGCCCTAAACTACGCCGTGCCAAAAAGTGTTACTTATGGCACTTGTATCGAAAATTACTATTTTATGATAAGAATAAGTTTGAATTACTTGTTTATTAAAATGACCATAAAATAGAAAGAAAAAATTTGTGAACTTTGACCTAAACTAAATCTAATGCATATTTTATACGTCAAACAATGTAGTGACACTAAAGTAATGACTTTCTTATGAAACATCTCGAAATTTTTTACTCTGTCTTGAATGAAGTTTAGCCAAGTTATTAATATTTTAATGAAAAAATGACATTTTGATTGTAACACTTTTTTAATAGAATACATTTTCAATTTCTTAAATTTTTTATGTTCAAATATTAATTTTGATATTAATTACTATTACAATTTAATGTTTTTATAATTATGAGCACGTACGTTACTGAGAAACATTTAAATTCTTTTACTCCCCTTGTCTGTGAAAATAATTAAACAAGCGAGTTTAGAAAGATTCTAAAATGTAAAATAAAAAAAGCCTTCTAAAAGAGTCTACTCTAATTCTGCACATCAATGATGGTGTGTATACATGCAATTCTGATTACTACTCAGAATAAGACTAAAATTTCCAGCTACGCTTTCTTCACTATCATTTCTCTAAATAGTATTACGGCTTATACACATACGCTCACGTGCGCACTTTATTTATTCACCAAGGAACTCACAATTTTGTTACATATATGAATTTAAACGTTAAGGCAATGTTATTTTCAAAAAAAGTTCAAAATAATTGAGTAGTATTCTTGAAAAAATAATTGAGCGCTCATTATCGGAATTAATAGAACACGATTCCTTCTCGACACTTTTCTTGCAGGATTAATTGATTACACCTTCACATAAGTCATATTTGTCCTGTTCCTAGCCTATAATTGTCAGCGATGATTAATCGCGCACTGCTCAAATGACCTATTCACTATAGAATTGTCACTTATTACTCAATGAATGAATCTTTACGACAAATATAATTATATACAAAAATCATACAAAATGTTCGATTGTTGGTTAATATTTATTATTACTATTATTATTGTCATTTTTAACATTATTATTATTTTTAATTTTAATGAAGTCAGTGTCAAGCTCTGAGTGCCATTGTGTATTTCTTAGAAAGTATTTCATTTCGCAAATTAATTAAGATTGATATTGATACAAAAAATATTTATTCATGAAGAATTTATCTTTATAGATCGACACGTTTGCTGCGGTTACAAAATATTTGTAAGGATTATTATACTATATTTCGAGTCTATTATATTTAACCCGTTAAAGTCCAGGATGACGAAATTTTTTGTTCGCGATTAGCACGATTTTTTTCTGTTTTGGGCTTTCAAAAGACTTCTGATATACTTAAGTAAAATTTAATGCTCTTTAAGAGTCCAGGCTCAAATTTAAGATTTAAGGCTTTTCAGGGAATTTTCACAGCTTTTTCCAATCAACAAAATGGCGTCCACGAAGTAATTTGTTTATAAAACATCAAATTCATTTTTTATCTCGAAATCCATTGAGTATATGAAAAAAGTTTATGGTATAAAAAAGGCTTAGAATTAATCAAGGAAACCCTTAAATTTTTTGCGAATTTTCGGAAACGGTTTTCCAATTTCGGAAAAATTCGTGAACTCCAATTTTTCAAAATCATCTCAAAAAAATTTTAAAATGTTCCTCGATTAATTCGAGGACTTTTTTTCTGTAAACTTTTTCTCTAAACTCAATTGTTTTGGAGTAAAACATTATACATTCTCACCCGTACATGTATTTTCTTGCATAATCATATATATGAAAAGTTTATTCTATGGTCGCCATTTTTTTAGAAAAAGTGGTTGAAAAAATCTGTAAAAATTTCTTAAATTACTTCTCCACCTATGATCCCCACTGATCATATTTATATTTCGAGTCTTTCTCTGCAAGAGTTCGGAAAAAATTCTCAAAGTTGATTTTTGTCACAAAATTTTACGTTTTCTTTTTTTTTGATTAAACAGCCAAAATTTTTTAACGAAGCGAAGAAAAATACATAATTTGAGCCTGGATTCTGAAAAGGCATTAAATTTTACATAAAATCATGTACGTCCAAAATCTTTTAAAGCCCAAAACATGGGCAAATCGCGTCGATCAAGAACAAAAATTTCGTCATTCTGGACGTTAATGGGTTAAAAGAATTTTTATTTTCGAATTTAAAACCATTTGACACTTAATAACAACTATTACAACATTTCTGGTTTTTACCTGCGACTTAGCTACCTGTGTGAGCTACCCCGTAGTGATTTGACATTCTACATTGCAAGGTCGTATTTCTGCAACTTAACTATACGATACGCCTTTACACCAAATCGAAAGCAATTTCGCATGTGGTCCAAGTCATAAGTGAAACTGTACAAATATGAGCTTTGCGAAATATATATATAGGACAATTCTAGAAGACTTTTTCATGATTTCATTTATATAGCTATTACCCGTCACTCGTGTATAACCTTCTTTGTATTTGTGCGAATTAAGAAAATTACGAAAATTTAGACTTTTTCGTATACGGAAATTAATATGATAAAAAAGCGGTCACGTTTAATTAATTTTTAAAATTAATATTATGTTTTGCATTCAAATTGTTCGTTTCAAAACAGTCGAATCAAAGAAACAGCTCAGCCTAAAGTTTGTTGATTAACTGTTCATTGTTTATAAATTGAGTTTTTTTATTCAAAATCCGGTGGATCGCAGACAGAATTCTACTTTTCAAAATTCTATGCTTTTGAAAAATAAGATGTCATTTCCTAGAAGAGTAGGTTGCGAATTTTTTAAAACGAAGTAGTTAACGACTGCATTCTTTTTAACAAAAAGTTTCCTTTTCTTCCTAAGGACATTTGAAAAACTTGATCTTTAAAATATGTCGTATCTCATTCTCTTCAGTCGTGCTTTTTTCTTATTATCATCAAAGTATTTATATAGATAAGCCTTTACAATGCAATCGAATGCTGCTCAAAATTTGACAGTTTTATTAAGTTTCAATATTTGCATTTCAAAAAACGTTAGTATTTAACTTTTTCTAATTTTATAAAAAATCAGAATTCTTAAATAAACTTAAAGAAATTCTAAATCGTTTGAACATATTCAAGCATAAAATACTGATGAAACAATTTTGAATAAATAAATTATGAGCAACCTCTAGAAGCAATACGAATTACGCTTTCTTCATTATTTCGAATCACAGTAATTTTAATTACCACACGATACATTTTCGACTCATAATACATTTTTACTAGTGTAATATAATAATGCAGTGCGAAAGATAATAGCAATGAGAACAGCCAGTCGAACGTATAGAAACTTCCTAGTATGCGCCCTGCTACTATTTACATAATCGTCTTTGAAATGGCATGTATTGCGTGAAATACACCGATTATAGGTAAGACCATCTTTTTCTTTCTCTTTCGGATATATGTAGAAGCAGGCGTAGGCACATGTATATGAGCAGGCTCGCGCGTGCGTCTTCGTGTGTAATTGCATCTTTAGGCTTTTTCGTGTTTTCCTTGACTCGCGCGCGCATGGGGAAAGCTTCGGACTAGTGATAAAAATCATGTGGTTACGCGCACGTAAGAAAACGCGGCGCAGATCCATGTACGTACATACGTATGCACTAAAGTAATTTACTCGAGAGTGCCAAAGTTTTATGCATTTTATAATATTTCATATCAAGTATTATACCCACGTATGTGCTTGTCATTTGTCTCAATCACAGCGAGTAATGAGCAATACATTCGCGAGTCGTTACGATTGTGCGAATATATTTTCGTGGACGCACATCTGAACACTTAGCTGGAGGACACGATTGCAAATCGTCGATACGTAAATTCAATTATTTTGGTTATATTAAAACGTGTTAAAATTATAGCTCATAAGCAATGATATTAAACATCATTTTTATGAATCATCAATTAAAGTTTAAACTTTGTAATTGCTATTCGTCCAAGTGCGTCAAAATAAAATCAATTCTTTTACCAGTTGAATTGTATTTAACCGCTGAGTATGTAGCATACAATTTCAGCATAATTAACTATAAACATTCTACTCTAAATTATAAATTCCACTACAACACAAAAAACCAATTATAAAATTCTTTCCAAACGGCAACTCCTGGGTCCAGACAATAAAAAAGACAATCCCGATGCCAAGAGTTAGCTGCATAAGGCGCGCCTGCGTAAAACAACAGTAGCGACGCAGGATTAAATCGGCAGGCAAAACTTTCTTCTGCGCTTATTGCCATACATGCACAATATACCAAGCGCGAGCGTGCATATATGAGCGATTCTTTGAAAAAAAACGCATTTTTGGAGGTGGAATCGAGGCAAATTGTTTTTCAACCTACGCGGATACGGACCCCCGGGAAAAGTTTGTAGGGGTCCTAGGAACTCGTAACAACGATAGAACCATTGAAATTTCAATAGTGTTTATTTTTATAACTATTGCCATCAAACATGCCAAGCTAAATATTTTGAAAAACTCGGTACTGAAAAAGTGAATTTTATGATTTATTTTTGATTTTTCTTTTTGAAAATGCGATTTTTCTGAAAATCTGACAGCACCATGAGAAAGCTGAAGAAATTTCCTATCGAAAGGATATCTTCATTTATTTTTTCGGTCGAATTACAATGTTATTCAAGCTAATTTGTTCACTGTTTTCTGATCTCGAGTCGTTTTTAGCGCGGTCTCGGGGTTCTCAGCGTTACGCGACTCTAAACTTACTCGTATAACATTTTAATTCGACTGAAAAAAGAAATAAAGATATCACTTCGATAGGAAATTTCTTCAGCTTTCTCATGGTGCAGTCAGATTTTCCAAAAATTCTCATTTTCAGAAGGAAAAATCAAAAATAAATCATCAAATTCACTTTTTCAGTACCGAGTTTTTCGAGATATTTAGTTCTACGTGTTTCATGGCAGAAAATCTGATACCACCATTGGGAAGCTGAGAAAATTTCGTATTGAAGACAGTAGTCAGTTATTTTTCTGAAATGAGTTTTGATACTTTTTTAGCGATTCAGAAATTGAGTAATTAGCCATATTTACGATAAAACATAATTTTTTGTCCTCTAAATTACAAAAGTAGCTATAAAAATAAACACTATTGAAATTTCAATGGTTCCAACGTTGTCACATGTTCCTAGGACCCCGAAAAACATTTTCCGGGGGATCGGTTTCCACGTAGGTTGAAAAAAAAATTTACCATAATTCTACCTCAAAAAAGGCGTTTTATTTAAAGAATTGCTCATATACGTATCACCTGAATGAGCAACTGCCACTCTGTGGAATGATTTTCCTTTACAAACGTCAAAATCAATCGCGATTTCATAAATACGTCGGAAAGTCGGCGAAAGAAAGTCTCTCCAGACGTATAACGCACGAGACGCATGAAAACGTAGCGAACATCGTGACAAGCGATACACCTAGACCATCCACGTATACATGAGTTCGGTCGACATGACCACGTGCGGCATTTACGCGATGCAAAGCGCATATGTGCGTACGACGACGATATGTGTGCTCAACGAAGCGCAATATACCGTCGATTTTTTCGGCGCAGTGCCGAGTGTGTAGAGCTCTCCGATGGCGTAATAATATTAATGCATTCCAGTTCTTTCTTTGCAGCGTAACATTTGGGTTTCTAGATTGTTCTCGCGTTGCAACCATGCACGGAAATATGTCTGTCGATGCGATCAGATAGTTATTATAATGTATATTAATCCAAGTCAAGTTCATCCGTCAAAACTCCATCTTTCACGCACGCGCCTTCAATTCAATGCAGAAGAAGTGCTTAATGATGACTTTTTGTGCTTTTATACCAATCACGTCGTAAAATCCAATCAACGTTAGGGAAAAGACCGAAACTACGTTCTTACGCGCAAGCGGGACAAGAAGTGCAACGATCAATTATTAATAAGATGCGCGCTGTTTTTTCGTACTCTACAAATCGCAAAGCCTTGATGAATAAAAAAATATATATGCGCGTACACACGAGTCTTTCTGGCTATCTATATGCCGCCTTCGAGTTCAAGCAATACCGCGGAAAATATTTCAATGTATTTTTGCTTTTTACAGCGTAGAAAAAAAATCTAGCGAAACATTGTATTTACCAAATGATATATGTAATGTAGAAAATGTTTTTTATAGGAATTGCATTAATCACTTGTCTAGTGTATGTAGACGCGAGTGAAAGAGGCAATTAACGCCGCGACATTGTCAAATAAGGCCTCGTGCGTGGCGATGTACATCAGACAGTTCGTGTAAAGCAGTGTCGTACACACAACAAATAAAAGCAGATTTTTTTCTCCTTCTTTTCATATATCGCGCCGCGGTCACGTACGTAAACACTCGAGCTCCAACTTTCGCCGGGGCCCTTTCCGACTATAGCGCGAGAGCGGATCGCGCCAGATTGCACTTTCATTTTTGCAGAGCGTAATAAAAGCCTAGCTGACCGGCAAGAGTCTTACTAGAAAATCGTTCCGCGACGAAATTCGATCAAGCGTTGCACTCGCGCTCATATTGTGCTCTTGTTATTATTTTGCTGCGTTCTTTAAAAGCGCATTGATGTCTGAGTATCCGAGCGACGAGCTGCCTGAAGTGTGATGAAAAATATTTTGGATTACCATATCAGGCATAGATAATTTTATACAATTCGTTCGTATAGGGTAATTATCTAACGGTCCGAGGTACCATTGCTTCGTAAAAGCGCAAGGATGAATATTTTCCTGTTCTGACGCACACTGGCACACAGGATGTGATGCAATTATCTTACGTAGCAATGATCGATAAAGCTATCAATAACCATTTTTTTTACTTTCGACTATATTGCAAGGTCGCGAACTGTAAAGATAATCCGTCAAAAAAAGTATATTTTTTAATTTGAAGAATGTTTCAAACGGTAATAATCGCGCTTGTTTTGATAAATTTAAATTTGTAAAAAGTTGAAACGTCGAATAGTCTTCAATGTCAAAAGTAGCGAGTGTTTCGTTATCTATTCGGCAAAATCAATTTATTCGGTGCTTCAATATCGGTATACAGGAGATACTTTTTTCATTTGCAAAAAAAAAAGGTGAAACTTATAAATAAAATATTTCACCTTATCTATTTTTTGAATACATAATAAGTATCACGTCCTCCACTCAAACTTTTTAAATAAAATGTATAAATTCTGATTATTTGAATAAGATTTTTTCGACTTACATTGTAATATTCCTCGATGCAAAGAATCTAAATTATCAAGATTGGAGATTGCACCACAAGCTCTTGTCTAAAATAAATTATCGTAATTTCTTTTTTTATCACAGTTTCATTGTGTTTGCCCAACACAATATTTAATCCGATTATAGTTTTGGAACACAGTAAATCAAGTCGTATTTCTCACTGTAGTAGTCGAGATCATCCACCGCAACCACCGCCTCCACCCTTGCACAATTCTAACTTATAATATCACGATGGCGAGTAGTTTCTTGAAGTATATTTTTATTATGGCTTGCCACACACCACGTCGCACTGCACTGTAGAAAATTTTACAAATTAATCATACAGCTCACCAGCATATGCATAATAAAAATTTTTAGCTCAATGATGAATAAATTTGGCCTAACTTGTATGCTTCAAGCTTTTGATTATTCCAATTCGAAATCACAGGAAAAAAACCTTGCTACCAATATCATTTGATCAATTTTCCAAAATAAATTTGTCGATAGATTCGTTAAAAAAATTTTAATTTATTGCATTAAAAAAAGGAAATTTTAATGGTGAGTCACCTGTGAATCCTTATAGTACAAAAAGCTATTCTAGTAATTTTGTCAACATATACGATGAAAATAGGATGTAAACGGAAAACCAGGAGGCTGGGAAGCAGGTGTACACAGCTCGATATATTGCTGTGCAGTGCCGGCAGACACGCGTCTCCTTGATAACTGAGACCCAGCAATATAAGACCGGACAGTCGCGATTCGTACTCCTTTTCCCCGGCAAGTTTCGCGAAAATGAAAGAAGAAGGGGCCCTCGCGAGCGGCTCCGTTACGGCTGTCTTCCGCGCGAGCGCGGGGTAGAACATACATACGTCTGTCTAGTGGGGCAAAATAAAAATATCGTTGTGCGGAGAAAGGAAGGTGCACCGTGGCAGTGGCAACAGATTTTGGCGGTCGGCACTGCGACGATCATCGTGATGTATCAAAACAAAAACGAGTTTTTAAGATTTTGCGAATTAACATTCTCGCTGTTGAGAGCATCGATCGAGTTTTTTTTATGCCAGAGCTTGCGTCAAGACATTAGTATGAAACAAAAAAAAATACATTGAAAAATCATCTACTAACCAAGTGATATATGAATATGTATTTAAATAATAAAATTTCAGTTTGAGTAATTTTGCTAATCTTTTTTTCTTACTTTTTTGAAGCATAGTCTCAAGGCGATGCTATTTTAAATCTTGTTTCCGTATCAAACAGCTCGAAATTCTTGACGGTACGTTGTGACAAGATATACCGATCTCGAGTTAAAAAATTTTCTTCGTCTACCAAAGTCACAATAAATGGAACAAAATTATAGTCCCAAAAAAGTAAAGCACGTCACGGCTGTATAGACGCTTGCATATATATGCGTCGCTATTGTCATCGATCGTCGAGCGAACGAACGGCATTCATTATTCATAAATTATCGTTAAGATGAGTGCATTCAGGCCAAGTGCATAGGAATTAAGATTACGGGATGCTCGAAAATTTTCCCTAAAACAATTTTTTAAGCCACGATGTGAATGCAAGCTCGTTGCAACAAGAGCTAGTAAAAAAATGTTATTTCTGCAGCGCACGTGCTCTATTCTGTGACGTAGATTAGTGACAGAAATGATGGAAAACAAACGTTACCGAAGTGAGGTGAGACGACGGTCTAAGACTCGCTAAAAAGTTTTTCCACGCTGCGCGTCTTTTGCGTTTCTCATCGCGAAACTCAATTTTTTACCCACACGATTACGCAGGTTGCGATCATGTTCGCGGAGCTCACCAGAGCATTTCAATATAAATGTCAATCATCAATAATAACGAAACATTGCAATTTGCTGAAATTGTCAAATTCAATCCTGTACGAAGACTAGGGCGATATTGCCTAGATCGCCTGGCTGAGATGTAACCGCAAACACTCTCGCTCATTGCTCGATTCTTCACGGAGCCTATTAATTTGTCAAAAGATTACGCGATCGCGCTCAAAGACTTATATATACAGCAGAACTCGATGGCTTGCCTATGTGCATATATACACTGCCCGTCAATTACTTTTGCCATACCTGAGCGAAAAATGAGTAAACTTCAAAGTTTCGTAGCTCAGTCAAAAAAAGTCGGATTGACATTCTGACCCCGCCATTCGAAAGGTATTCACTAGCACTTTAAGGCTATATAAATTGTTATTAGGTTTTTTTGTTTATTCATCAATTTTTATTAACAATTAACGAATAAGAAATATTGCTTTTTTTTGCCTCCGCTATTTCTCTTGCCATTTTAGTTAGAAGGGTCGTAGAAACATTTTGAACCGATGGATTTGTAGGTTTTAACGAGACCTTTAAATCCTTTTTTTAAAAATTTTCCTACGAGCTTTTTTCACAAATATACAGCCCTTTTAGTGCAAAAACGACCCTTTTTTTCGTTTGCATGTACACCGCGTTCAAGGGGTCGTAGAAAAAAATTTTATATACAAAAAAGGTTGGTTTTTATGTGTACAATAAGAAGCAATAGTTACAATCCGTTTCTGAGAAAATTTTTTTTTTCGATTTTTTTATGCATGTTAACTCACCAGATTGTGTGTGTTAATAAGTGAGTGTGCTAATGTTAATAACCTAATAACAATTTATATAGCCTTAAAGTGCTAGTGAATACCTTTCGAATGGCGGGTTCAGAATGTCAATCCGACTTTTTTTGACTGAGCTACGAAACTTTGAAGTTTACTCATTTTTCGCTCAGGTATGGCAAAAGTAATTGACGGGCAGTGTATATACGTGCTCACTTTCTATAAATGCAAATGCTGCTTCGGGGTATGCACGAACCTATACGCACGGATACGAATATGACATATTCAGAAATATAGTGGCCCGAGCGTCTATCTATATATCTATATATGTGTATAGTGAACACGTGTGGTGCGTGTCTCCTTTCTCGCGGCGCGCGCACCTATAATCGTTGTTAGTACATTCGCTATTCCGAATCTCAGATGTATACTGTGCGCTGAGGCTGCTCTAATGCTCAGCATTGTTATGTACTACTGCACGTTCGAGTACCCCACTAGCAAAGTGTACTCGTGTATGTGTGTGTGTGCGGTACAAGTGCGTGAGCGACTTACCTTTCTCCTACTACTGATTCAGCTGCTATCTAGGCATGCACGTAGACAAACGCGAATTACGCGGATCTATTCTTCCAGTCAGTAGTAATACAAGTCAAAAACGCAAATTCAAGATATCCCGATGCGTCGCGATTCTTCGTCCGCGCTGCAAAAGAGCTCACGAGATGTGTCTCCTTGCACTTAACAATATTGTGTATCATATATTGCAGTTGCAATCTGTTACGATATGGTTAGTTGACTTTGTGTGCTTTTCTGTGAGCTGCCTCGAGTTATAGGTCAATTTATTAGAATTGTAATGGGTTTCAGCGCGAATCTGATGCACTTCAAATGTCGGTTACCTTACGCATTAATAATCTACTTATAAATACAACATCGTTTTTCGTTATTTTTTAATTTTTTAAGTTTTTAATTTCGAAATGATAAAAATTTCAGTTGAGACTTTCAACATTTAAATTTATCAACGCGCGGTTGATAATAATAGCGTTATAAAAACTTAAAGCTTAATGTATCTTTTTCAATATTTTCATCATTTCTACGACTTTACTATTTTCGGATACAACTTGAGTTTGATATGAAATGTAATTTTTTTAGTCTTTTTATTCCCATTATTATCGAAAATTTGAACACGGAAAACATGTAAGAGGTAAAATGAAATTTTTTGATAAATTTAACCATTTTTATTTGTTTTATAATTACAAGGCTGGAAATACGTGCGCATTCATGTTTGTAAAAAATGCTTTGAAAGGTGCATACTTTCTCCAATTAGGATCACGGGAAATGAACATTAAATATTATGAACCAACTTATAACTATTAAAACTATATCAGGGTCGGTTAGGATTCGTTGCATTATTTACCTCGCAAACTATGGGTCACTCACTGCCTTCTTATACAAAGATTCGTAAGTTTTGTCGTTTATACAGAGAGAATGTTCATCTTTGATGTTGTGTAGTTTATATTTCTAGTCTCTTAAAAAAGGTGAAATTAAAATAAAAATATCACTTGGGATAGAAAGAGAAAACACTCGAGCTTGTGTTTATGAAATTATTTTAATTATTACCCATTTTTTTTGTTATTTCTAAAAAGTAAGAGTATACTATTTCTAAATTTTATAAGCTGCATATAGTGAGGTACAAAAATTTTGAGATGCAGCAATTTTTTGAAATGGAAAACCGAATTATTCAATACCAAGAATTAAACGTAGAAGAGCTTGTTATTTGACTTTAGAATGTAACAAATAAGATCAATTTAATGATGACTTCTACGCAATAAAACTATTGAGTAAATATATGATAAAGTTTAATGACGTGGGAGTATTTTTTCTTGCATATTTACTAATGGAAATTAAGCGATTCAAAAATTACTATAATGAAATTTTGAAACTTCATAGATCACATTGATTCAATTCTCTTATTAATTTTTTAAAATATTAACCCATTAATGCGCAAAAGTGCAATTTTGTGCATGAATTTTCCGTTGTAAAAAAATTATAGATAAAGTTAAAATATTTTCTTGAAAATCCATACCCAGGGGTTTTTGGGTATGCTCTTCCAGTATCCGGTGTTATTTTTGCGATAAATAAACATTATCATCGTTTATTTTGCCATTAAAAACAAAAAACGTGATTTTTTGACTCAAAATTTTTTTTCAAAGTCGATTTTCTACCTTGCCTTGCCTTCGGAGGGTTCCCATAACACCAGAAATCGTGCACTTTTTCTTTGAACCTTCGAAAAATGCGCTGCCGCGATTTTTATCTAGCCCCTATATTTCTAAAATGGCTAATTTATACCGAGCAGCGATATGAAAATTGCCTTATTTTTTATTTGTAAATTATTGTCTTTATAAAAGAAAGTCATACAATGAAAAGTGTTCAAATTTTTTCAAAGAATACATGCGAATTTTTTTTGGAATTTTTTAATAAATTTTTTCAGAATTTTTCAGATTTTTTTGGAACATTTTGGATTTTTTCGACAGGCCGGGAAATGGTCGTATTTTGCAAAATTCCCAAAATGGTTTGAAAAATTCTGAAAAAAATCACACGTATTCTCTAAACGATTTCAAATAAGTTTTTACACTCCAAATTGTACTTTTGAGTTCATATTTAGCGCATGTAAAGTAGGTTCTGAGTAAAAAATGAGTAAATTTTTATACCACTGCCCGCGGGTATAAATTCGCCATTTTAGAAATATCGGGGCTAGATAAAAATCGCGGCAGCGCATTTTTTGAAGGTTCAGAGAAAAAGTGCACGATTTCTGGTGTTATGGGAACCCTCCGAAGGCAAGGCAAGGTAGAAAATCGACTTTGAAAAAAAATTTTGAGTCAAAAAATCACGTTTTTTGTTTTTAATGGCAAAATAAACGATGATAATGTTTATTTATCGCAAAAATAACACCGGATACTGAAAGAGCATACCCAAAAACCCCTGGGTATGGATTTTTAAGAAAATATTTTAACTTTATCTATAATTTTTTTACAACGGAAAATTCATGCACAAAATTGCACTTTTGCGCGTTAATGGGTTAAAGTGAAAAAAATCAAATCTCAATAATGAAATCCTGCCATTCATCGAATCAAGATAATATTAAATATGAAGAGACAGCTAACC